AAACTGGTAGACACGAGGACTGAGTAGAAAAACTACTGAAGGCCAAGGGATCTTATCAAAAAATAAATAACATTATTTAAGTGTCGATGTATTTAGTTTATGCAACTAATTGGGGACACTGAAATGAAACAGAAATGAAGAAATAATCAAAGAAACAAAAAGTGTTTTAAGAATACCAACTGGATTGGCAATATTTACCAGTTGGCAATATTTACAATAAAGGTTAATGCAATAGGGTTTAGATTATTGTTCTATCACCTAGATGACCCTTATTAGACAACGCTTTCAGCTTACGTTCAGCTCTGTTAATTGCCTGATCAATGACTTGAAAAATCAGAATATCAAATAAATCCGGACAGGTTTCACTCTCGTCTCCTACTCAGACTTATGCCCCGTTTCCCTGGTGGCAGTCTCCTTCTGTAACTCTGCCAGCAGTGTGTAGTGCCACATTTACACCGAGTCAAAAGAAACGAATTACATAAGAAAGGAAAGAACGGAAGAGTGAATAAAATAAATAAATAAGGAAGGGAAAAAACTGAGATACTAAAGGAAAGGAYTGAACCTTAATATAGATCTGAATTTTTAAATATTTTTCATAAATAACTCATTTATTAAAGTTTTGTAATAAATGGCACTTGAAATTCTAATCAACATAAATAAAACTGTCGATGTGATTTGAACACTTCTTATCTGTCGTGAACGCAAAATTAAGTTTAAGCTGATAATAAATGTTCATTAAATATTAAATTATTAATTATTTAACTCTACAAATTTTGAGTTCTAGTGTTTCAGTGCAAGTTTTTCGAATCAACCGATTTATTTGAATGTGAATTTTTTAACTCTTAAGATATAGTTTAAAAGTGTGAATTTGTTCACATGTTGTTCATGGCTGCAACAACTGATTCGAATGAATCGCTTTTTACATTCTCAAATTAAGACTATACAAAAAACTTTTTCTAGGAAGGTCAAGAAATTGAAGTCGGTAACTGCCATGCAAGTTATTTTTTACAATAACTTACAAATTTTTTGCGCGAAGATTGGTTATTTTTTATCAATAATAAGAGGTGATAGACAGATAAAGCTGACCCCAACGAGCGCGTGTTCTTTCCGTTAGTTGTTTTGATCAGTAAAAATGAGAAGTTTTTATCGTTTTTGTTATTGTAAAATTGTCAATTCACCCAATTTAAACTATTCCTAAGGCTTAAAGGAAACTAGTTTATCGGTAATCCTACTTTTTCCCATCAGTTTTATAATTGTTTATAGTTGTTTTTTCATTAAAATGTACACGGACACATGTTTTAAAAAAATCGTCTGCATGCCACGTCTCAGGTTCAGCAAAATTCAGACTTAAAAAATGTCTTAACTATCACGTAATTACCGTTGTGCAACACTTAATACATCAAATTGACGATAAGTAAGTTACTGAATATCTCATAAAAAGCACATAAGCTTACAAGGTATTTAAGCTTAAGCATATTTATATAAACTAAAAGTGAAAAGCTCACTACGGGTAGTCGAGACGAAACTATACAGAAAGAACAAGCGGTCAAACTTATTCTTAAACTTGCTATTCAAATACAGTAATTGTAAAAAAATTAATGTTCAACTAGAATCTTTTATAAGTACCTTACTAATAAAACGTGTTGAGAGGTTTCTGGAAGTTTGGTAGGCGTTCAAAATATCATGGTTACGCAGAAAGAGGAAGATCGTGATTACTTGCATGCAAGAAGTGAGTGACATAACTGTCTGTTATGGACCCTCCTGTAAACACGAAGACTGAGGGATATGTGAAATAGAGTCATTCGTAGTTGTAATGATATATACATAAACTGGAAATTAATTCCAGCTACGACTATGGCTTTGTACTTACTTTAGCATGTTAATGGTTGAATCTCTGGATGAACGAAGCTACGACACAGGGAACCCAGTTCAAGTTGGTTGAGTTAAAAATGTTAATTAGTTTGGTTTTGTTAGAAATAACGTAAAAAAAATCATTATCGCAATAACTGCTGTAGAATTATGAATGTAATTCAGACTTTTATCAGGCGAGTTTTCGGGCTGATTCACTACTGTAAACACTCAATGACATTGAGTATTTAATACTAATCAAACGAACACGTCAGTGACATCATCAGTGTTGTAGCTTTGTCTTCAGCTTACTCTATTTTGACAACGGGGCCGTTGTGGAAACTTCTGATTTGGGTGCATGTTTAGTGAACTTAACCCGTAGGTTTGCATTGGACTTAGTAGTATCTCATGTATACCCCCAAAGCCGAGAAAAAGGTGCGCAAATTCCAAAAAAAAAAAAAGAAGAGAGATTTATCTTATTGCCGAAGAATACATGGCAATGTTTTATCATTTACCTTCGTGATTTTATCTGTCAGTCATTTAACGGTTTCCACTCTCGAGACAGATTCAGATTGAAGCATTTAGATGTTTCTTGTGTTTGTAGAGCTCCTTCTATTCGATTTTTTGACTAACTCTTCGTGTTCTTTCAGTATTGTGGTATGTCACCCTTGTGGTGTTATAAATAAACAATCCATCCAAGCGCAGAAACTTGACAGGTGACATAAAAAAACCTACTCGTTATAAATTCAAGCATAAACCATGAGTGCAAAATGATTTGAAATTATAACCGCCCTTCATCGATAAAACAATTTACTTCATCAAAAAATACTTAAGATCCAACCTCTTCGAAAAAGGTCATTCGTGGAATAGCTATTTACATTCTGAACTGATCGAAATAAGAGAATGCAAAGCCACATTGTCTACTGAGACAAGTTGCATATTTGAGTATCGAAAATTAAAGATGTCCTTCATTTGAGGTTAGCTTGGTTAAGTCTTGGGGGTTTCGATATAAAAAATTAATCAAAAGCCGACAATCTTTCGAAGCCATTTTTGCTGCTTAAGAAGATTGTGGTCATTTTTTGATAACAGTCAAAAGGTTTCCCCGCATGATTGATTTTTATCAATTTGCACGTTCTACTAATGGTGGTAGTTTAAGAGTAACCGCCTCTTTTAAAGTCCTCAACTATGGACTGTATTTATTATTAAAAAGAGTATTGTAGTCAATCTATGCTATTTATCAAACCAGTTGTTTGGAAGCTTAAGGAAGTTACATGTTTTTTTTTTATTGGGGAGGGGGTGAGGGGGTATTCGTAGTAAACTGTTTACATATGATTGTAGTCCCTCCCCCTTTACTGTACTTATAGTATGAAATTCATGATCCTTCTATTGAAGTGAACAAGAAAACGTAACTGCTTTTGTTAAACAAAAAGTTTGTCGCCCCATGAAAGTTCAAATATTAACTGACAACTCTCCCCTACCCCCTCAAAAAAAAACATACGTTCGCTCAATTTTGATTTCATCATTTACGTTGAGCAATCACTGTGTAAGCGAGCGGAAGTAAACCTTAAACCATTTATATTAAACAATGTATTGACTGATAGGTCTTGTCATTCAAGTGGCTCTACATCTTATACTCTAAAATTCAACATAAACTATAGAATTCAACTAAAAGTGCATTTATCTTTCTTGCCCTCATCTGTTCGAGTCAATGGCTTACTGCGGATATAACCTCTCATTTCTAGAAGACTTCATTAAAATAAGAAAAAAATTAATATTTCAATAAAGTGAACATAATCTTTCTCAATTGATGAAAGCATCAAATACACTTTTTTGCTTGCGTTTTCAGTCGAGTACCACATACTATATATTAATTCTTTTTTAAAAAAAAGTAAAAACATTTTAAAAGACTTGAACATTTCATTCAGCGCATGGAATTATCCGCTAATAAAAAATTCGAATAAGCCTGAAGCGAGATGATGTTTTACCCCCGACTCTATACCATAATAGTTTTTAAAATTCTTTCATATTACAATTTTTGATTCCTTAGAGAATATAGAACCAATAGTCATAATTAAAGAAAAAAAGCAGTGTGAAAAGGATTATGGTCTAGAGACGGGGGTAAAACGTCATCTCGTTTCAAGCTTATTGACCAATTATTTTCCTAAGRAATTTTATTAGTTTAACGTTTCATTTTCCTGTCATCTATTGATGTATGACAGTGCTTCTGAGAACAATAAATGCGGTTGTTTTCCAAATGCACGATGAATATTCAGTAAGTATAAGAATAGATGAAGTTAATAATCTGTAGAAGTGATGACAAATAGTTATGTTGTGTAGCTCGAATGTCGGCGCCAACAAGACCAGGTTTGATAAATAGAAAATAATAGAAATAATGAATAACACGAAAAAAGACCATGAAAATTTAACACGACTGACCTAGATTGGACAGAGTTAATTGCTGGTACATGACATTTGACGATCGGCGTCATTCGTAGTCAATAGATTCGTTCATTTTTTTCCCTTTTTTAATTTTAAGAGATGACTGTGTCGATCAGACGATTGATCATTATTCTTAGCAGTCAAGAGGCAAACTTACTCGACATGCACACTGTTTCCAAACTAAACAATGAGAACCAAACCATTTGGTAAAAAAGACGAAGTGATTGAAGATTTTTTCAAAAATTGGCCGAGCAAGAATGTTCCTAGTATAACCGGCTCGAGTTACCTCAAGACAACCTTGCAAATGGTCCAGTTTTCAATGTCTGGAAAACGACTCGGTTTTTCTAAACGTTTTTAATACAAAATATTGAGGCTTGATACTCAAATGAAAATATAAGCTACATCGATATCGGTTTTGACGAAGTCGGCTTCAGTACAAAGGAAAACATCACTAGACTTACCAAGAATGGATTTCCTGCGATAACACTGGTATATGAATCAAATATCTAAGGCCGGCAAAGGCCGGGCCGTTAAAATTCAAGAGTCTGGCCGCTTTCGTTATCATTGAAAATTATTCAAAATAAGTTCTTCCGATAAGCGCACTTGGGACTGCATGCAGGGTAATATAGACATGATCGGCACCTTTGTGATCAGTGCGCAAGCGTCGGTGGGACGGCCGTGGCGATATGTCACAATTCTATTTCGACAAATCAAATATGTGTGCAGGACGTAATGAAAAACGAACAATTGAAGTATGTCAGTAATCGTACGGCTAGCCCAGCTTGCATTATCGATCGCATATTTATTAGTATTTACAGCCCTAGTGAATGGTACGAGCCCAGTTCTTTAGCCGTTGAAACATCATGAAATCCATCAAGTATAATACTAGATCATGTGACTAGGATAGTTTGCGATCTAATGGCGGAACGCGCGTTCGGTTTTGCGGAGGAGAGAGCTAGAAAAACCGGGGAAAACCTCTCAAATCAAGAGAGACCTAACAAACTCTACTCTCGTAATTACAACTCCAGGAATCTAATCTAGGCGTGACTCCAGATTTAAGTCACGTGACAATCAAAAAGTATATTTTGGTAGGGAGTGTGGAATCGATATATACATGAAAGACATTATTCACCATGAAAAACCGGGCGGGAACAAGAACAAACCTTTGAGGAGTAGAAGAATTAACAATTCAGTTAACATTTGAATTGTTTGACTTATAAACTATTTTAGTAACGAGTCTTCGCTTTAGCATTCAGTTTCATTTTCGAAAGTGAAACATTATGAATATTAAAGAGCTAAATTGGAAAATAACACATGACTAAGAGGTTATTTTGAACGTGAATGGTGGATTGCCACCCGCTCAACACAATCTAATGACGTTTTACCCCCGTCTCTAGACCATAATCCTTTTCACATTGCTTTTGTTCTTTAATTATGACTAYTGTTCCTGTATTCTCTAAGGAATCAAAAATTTTAATATGAAAGAATTTTAAAAACTATTATAGTATAGAGTCGGGGGTAAAACGTCATCTCGCTTCAGGCTTATTTGGCTGTTTTTTAAACAAGAATCATTTCTAATTGAAGATGTTATTCTCACCAAGGATAGCACTGAGTACTATTATTGTTGGAGTACAGTACGAATCAGGAGTTGTAAGTATGTACAAATAATAATAATAATACAAATGAATAAATGAATAAACACTTCTATTAAAATAACGACAAGTTGGGATTTGTAAGACTGAAGAAGTCCTCGACGTACACGCGTCATTCAATCTCTAACCACCGAACCAATCAGCGAGAACAGTTTTTCCTAGATTTTCACGGGTTTATACTATATCAAACGTATCATTATCAGTATTCGTTTACATAACAGTATTCGAGCTCAACGAATGCAAAAAAGCAGTTGTTTCATGTTTAATGAAAAAACGCAATCGAATACTGAAATTGTGAACCCTAAGTAGCCAAGAATCGTTAGTGACGCTGTTTTATCAGATGAAATACTGAAAAATCTTGGATTTAACTGTAGAAATTTAATGAAAAAGTTACGTTTTTGAGAGCTTAGAAAATAGGCAACTGATAATACTAAGACTAGATGAAATCTTCGCCTACAGTTTCGGATCACAGATGGAAACTAATCTACTTCTTATTTATGAGTTTATTTCTTCATTTCTTTTTTCCTTTTTCGCTAAAGCAAGCATCAGTTAATTCTAGGCTTTTTGTATAAAATATCGTGGAGTCAAGAATCTCTTTATGTTTTTGTACATCTTAATTCAAATTCTATTCGTTTCGCGATTCTGCATCGATAAATTATTTTGGAATCAGTCCGGAAGTCGAAAGTAACCTTATTTTCCAGTGACAGATATTACACTGAACAGTTATATCTATCAGTAATCTTACCTGTTCCAATGTTTCGCATCACCTCAATTATTCGATCCAAGCTCTACAATGACAAAATAGGACAATTTTTCTACTGCATTTGCTTGTTTGATGCCAATAATAAACAGCGTAATTCCATATGAGCGAATTAGATCTGTCAAAAAAGTAGTTACGAAACCTTTCATTAGTAATGAGGTTCGAAGTACTTATGTTTGCTTGGCTTCGTTTTGGTGATGTCTAATATAATATAAGGCTAATAGCGCACACCATAGTCAGTGACTGTCGGGAGTCGACTCCATGTTATCAAACTCCCCTACCTGAATTAAGTGGTTAGATGACAAACTAGTTTCGTTTAGTCTTTGCTAACCGCTGATGGAAAAAATAAATTGAACGCGATCGTTTATCTCGAAGATTTGTTATATTCTCAGCAAGAGGTATAGCGTTGGTCCAGCAAAACCGCTCTAGCAAATTGTAGTATTTTTGTCACCTCATATATAAGAGATACTTATCTTYATAAGCATTAATAGATTGTTCAAACAAAAGAGAACGATAAAAAAGTTTCTTATTATTCCACCACTCAATATCATTCCTATTATGTGTCATGTCATTTGTGGTGGTACTCTTCGTCTTTACCATATACTTGGACCCGACAGTACAGTTAGATATTTTTCTTCTAGCAGAAGAGGTTGCACGATATTTTTTTTGAGGTTTAAGGAGGCTGGAAAGTGTTTTGTGCATTCACATTATGAACTAAAAAAAAATTATTATGGCTATGATATGACAGCAAGTGAATTTTTTTCAAAACCGGAATATTTCAACATTGTATCGTAATCTTCTTTTTGACGAAAAAAAAAGAAAAAATTCTGTAAGATGGAACTATTCCAAACAAATTTTATTGATTTTTACGAAATCCCTCTTACAGAATTTTTTTCTTTTTTTGTCAAAAAGAAGATTACGATACAATGTTGAAATATTCCGGTTTTGAAAAAATTTACCATTTGGTTCCTGAGTTATCATTCTTTAAATAAACATTTTTGATGGCATAGCAAGGGTTCTGATGTTGTCATAGCAACGTCTTGCGTCATTTTTTCATGTTCATTGCTATCTTTGGTTTATAGACTTTTGCTTTCCGGGTTTACTTGCTGTCATATTATAGCCATAATAATTTTTTTTAGTTCATATTGTAAAGGCACAAAACATTTTCTAACTCCCCCCCCCCCATCAACTATCTAGGAGCGCAAAGGCGCTTGGCCTATATTGGAAAACAACTAACCGTGAATGTGGACTCCAAAAGAATATTTTCAACAAAACGAAACCTAAACAAAGTTATATCACTTTTTTGAATATGATAGTATGTTTTAAAACTGTATATCGATCTTACCAGAAGCCATGTTTATAAAACTCGTTTCTTGGCGGAGATCAACAGGAACGTCGGCTCTAGAAATGCTGGTAAAGACATGATGGTGCAAGTGATTGTGGGATTGAACGGCGTCACTTTTGTCTTGTCTTGAAAACCAGTCTTTATCGATAAGGATTATGGGAAGGACTGAAGTTACAAAGAAACGACTGGAAAACGACTTGTTTGATTCGGGTGAAAATCGAGAGGCTTAAAACAATGATACTCATGTAGCCATCAACTAAAAGCGGAACTATGCGTTGGTAAATTAGATAGATCATAACAAAATACCGCTTAAACAGCATCAGATTTTCCTTTACTGTGCGAATCGTTTTCAAGAAGTCGATTAAGCTTAGTGAAACTTGCGGCTCTCATTAAAACAGGGTAAAAGCTTTGACCACGTGCAAAAATGAGAAATATGTATCCTCAAAATCCAGGAGAATTATTCAGACAATACAGTAAAACGGTGCAATAATAGGTAAAATGTTTTCCCGGCTTAAAATATGTACGAATTGGAGTCGAATAGTCGGAGATTTAATCCAAAACATCGTAGAAACTTCCCGAAAGAAGAAGCTTCTTGGCATTGATTTCCCATAAAAAGCCATTATCATTATTATTATTACTTTCATGACATATTAGTGCCAAATATAGTACTGCATGATTATGAGGAAGTATTGTAAATAATTCTGTTGGATTCCTCTTTTGCTGTAACTGCTTTTGCTAACAGCAATCATGTTTAAGAGAGTTAGGGGAGTCTTTCAAATATAATCTTAGTTAAGCTGATCATTCAATGGACGACATCGGAAAGCCGTCATTAACATCGCCTGTGTTCAGTAATGTTAGCAATACAAAATTCAGCCATTTCTCGCAACTTTTAAGTCATCATCATAAGCGGTTGTCTATAGATGATGACAGGATTATACAGGCGTCAACTCGAGAGGGGATTTTGGCTTCTAAAGAGCTTGCACTAGACGGAATCGTATCTGAATTACATAATGCCCGAAGAAGATTTATGACAATTAAATATCCAGCAAATAAGAATTTGCGAAACCCTAGTTTTAGCGAGAGGAGAATAAACATAAGAACACGGAGAAAAGTGGGTGTTGACCAACAAATCAACTCTGTAGGTCATATTTAGCTAGGACGGTGAGCTGGACGTAAAAAGAACGATGCAAACGGCTTTCCATTACCCTTTGATTCTCAGTAAAATGCTCAATGTGGGGCGACCCTATATCAATTGCTACAATATCCCAGCACCTGTCAATAATCTACAAGATGAAGGGGTTTTTTGTTCTTCGTCCAATAAATACCGCCTCCGTGTACTTCCGGCAGCTTTTTAATATAGTATATCTCTGGGATATATTACTGAAAAATACTGACTAGACAGAAAGAAACTAGAGTAATTATATCAGACGACAGAATGATTGCATAGTACGTTAGAACAGCAGGAACTAATGAACAAATGAGGAACAGTAATGTAAACAAACTACATTAGCACTTCAGATATGGGATATTAGTTCGTTGTTTCGAATAAGTCACTTTCGAATATTAAAAGTCAATATTAGGAAGGTTTTGCCGGGGGGGTTTCTGGGTTATCATGGTAGCATTTGCTGTAGCAACCCTTTGACTAGGCGACGGAGAAAAACGAAGGGAAAATTAGGGACGAATGTTGAGAAAGAAACCGAGAAATCGGTAGACGTATTTTAGGAAATGCGAGCCGGTTTAAAGCTGCTCTATAGCAAAGCTGCCTCAGAGATTAAAATACTATAAAACAAAGCCACTTTGGTAATGAAAATAAAGATTAAGAACAAACAGAAAAGTCACATCATTAAGTATATCTTTTAGATTTTGAACCTATGTTTGTTTTTACAGAGTTGGTATCAAAGATCTAGCCAATAGGGATAGAGTTGTTTTCGAAGTCCCTGACGAAGTACGTAAGAGACATGCAGTATACAGTCCTTTGACTAAACATGTCGTTTGATCGGCTTCATTCCTACGCGCCTAGACCGAACAGGATCATGGGGATAATTAATTCAGTTACTAGCTGCCGTATATGTTATCTAACACGTCTTGAGCGCGCTTTTTTCGATCCCACTTAATTTGTTAAAACCATGCCTCGAGCATACGGCRAAGATTTAAACTGGCGAGCAGTTTGGATGACGCAAGTTCTGGGTAATTTACCCGTTATCCTTTTCGGTGTAGGTGCGTAGGGATGATCCGATCAACGACAACGTTTAGTGAAAGGACTGTATGACTTATTTTGAAGACTAGACTCAGGATTTCCCGTACAAAAGCAAACACTTCATATTAACTAATCAATAAAGAACTGTTTGACCTATATATAAGAAATAACCATTTTTTCGTTCAGCACTGCAGAACGCAGGAAGTGACGAAAGCATGAAGTGTGGAGAGAATGGCTCGCAAATGGTGCAGGAATCTATTCCCTACCTCTACTGAAAGATATTTATTGGATTGCCCTAGGGCAGAGTTAAGGCTGTCCACCCTTCAGTCTCTAAGTGGGATTAAATTAATTATACCGCTGATCACACAGGTAGCCCAATTCTGAACTTCCAAGATTTTACGTTCTTACCTCGCACTTAGTCTCACAACCAAGGATGGACCATGGGGTGGGTTGGATTTTTAAAAATAAGAATAAATACTAATGTAAAAATTTTTTCTTAAAAACATTCAGGTAAATTATTTTCTCCAAACACATGAATACAATACCACTTTCAAATGATCCTTTATCTGACGCTGATAACATAAACATATATTTTAATATGTAGGACCAAAAATACCTCAAAGATCAACATACACACACACACTCTTTTTCTCATACTCGCACAGAATAAACACTAGGATAGCAGAATGATATAAGCTTTAATCTTAAAATAAGATATTACAAACATTGCTCCTTGCCAAGCAAGCAATTTACAAACATTATCCTCTTATATTTACATACACAATGTATCTTTCATTAAATAACGGAGTATTATGGCTGTAGCTTTGTTACGATGATGTCCTCACGGCATAACTTTGGGGAACAAACACCTTGGCATTTGGATTCAGCTTGCTTGTGGCCTYGAGGACAATAAATAATAAATAAATACAAATATATTGCTTAATTTTTTTTACAATCAAGAAAATGCAATAAAAACACACATAAAGTGGGAAGCTGCATCTATTTCATCCTTTGAAGTCGTACGGGATTTTAAAAAATGGGGACTAAAAAATGGGGATTGAAAAAATGGGAATTGAAATGTGAAGACTTTTAGTGCAAACAAACAAAACTTTTAATATAAGAACAATAGACCTATGAATAGACCTATCCCGATTTCACTTGACTGGTCACGAAACAACGGTTTCAAGTCGAGGTTGAACTTGATGAATAAAAGAATCAAGTTCAGTCTTGATTTCAAACCATTGTTTCGTGGTCAGTCAAGCCAATTCGGGATAGGTCTATTCTTATGGATTGTTTGTCAAAAGGACAATTATTCAAATCCTTTTAGTTATTTCTAGTCAAAACACAATATGCTCCAGATACCAAGACAAAATGAGCTATTTGAAGAACATATTTGGTTGATATTCCTTGAATAAGCTCAATATTCTTGATTTTCAGTAAAAAAAACCCTGTAGCATCAAAATCAGCAATTATGATGAAAAAGCTACAAAGAAATGGTTGTCTGATACCGTAGCACCAAGAAAAATAATATCACCTGGACAAGAATGAATTTCAATTATAAAGAATAATTTCATCAATTTAAATAAAACATAATGTAAGGAGCCAGTCTAAATTCATGTTAAAGTTGACTATTTTTTTGCTGTAATTATTGTAAAAAGAAACATATGCTTTTGTTAAAAAAATAGAGGAAAAGGTAGAAAAAAAGAAAGGAAAATGGATTTATTTCTTTGTATTTCTTGGCAGGTTTAATGTTTTTATACGCATCATTAGCCCACCCTCCCCCTAGCAATCATTGCTATCTGTATAAACAGGTACCCTATTTAGTGGTCTCACGATAATTAATAAATAACCTTCCTAATACTTACAAACCTTCAAATTCCGTTAACAATACTACATCTTTATGCTATTAAATTCTCGTAAAACTTGACTATTGACTTGTATGTGTTTTGTTCCGCGAATGTTTCGATATTTTGTGCCAAATGGAGTCGAAATCATCAAAGCAAGCGCTTTGTCATTAATTAGCATATGAAGAGTTAATATCGCTCGATTTACATTGTGAGAAGTATTTGTATTCAAGGTTCTTTATTCCATTGCTACACTTTTTATTCTGTTCTGATTTTATGTTTATAAAAAGATAATAAATCGCTAAAACCATGTATGATACAAATAATTTTTTTTCTTTACTTGCAGGAGCGAAAATCTTAAAAAATGTAAACACAAWCCAACGTGACACTGATTTAGAAATTCGTTGAAAAAACTTACCGAATTGCGCTGAAACTTTCCACTCTTTCCAGTAGAATAGGTCGTCTTGCTTCCAATTACGCCATGTTTAAGAGGCTGTTGGCCGATCACTTGATAGTTTGGAGTGCTAAAATGAAGATTTTTTGACTTTTGTGGGGTGAAAATCTCGTCATTCGACAAGGTCTCCCTYTCATCTTCATCGTCGAGTAACTGTTCAATACACATACGGATCAAATCATCTTCAAACAGATGATCATTGGTGCTTTGGTAAGACCCTTCCATCTTGTCTTCTATTTCGCTTCTTTGAAAAGATCTTATATTTATCGTGATGTTTTTGTCGTTCGTGCCTCAAAACACAGCAGCGATTATGCTGGAAGTTTCGTGTTTGGTCGGATATCAGCGGCGAACCAGCCAATCACGACCCGGCATTTTGACAAGGCGAATAACATAACATTCGAAAGGGTTTATGATGTAGAACCATTTCCGGTGACAATGTTACGTCATGTCCTATTGCTCCAACCAGGTGTGGTTCAGGATTGCCGCACGTATAATAAAGGATTTTCAGTATTAAATAACGATAATGACGTTTACAATATTTCTACATAGTATCTGTAGACTTCCAAGCGCACCAGACAGCTAGTATCCGATTGCACTGTTACGGCTGGGGCAATCTTTCGAGTTTCCCCGGGTCGGCCGTGTTAGAACAGCAAATCACTTACTGAGATTCCATCATTCAATCACTGCATTTATTAGAATCACGTAAAGACTGGGTAAAATACAATAAGGTATATCTGTATTAGTTAAAACCGCTTACAAATAGAAAAAATGTGCTTGATTAGGGAATGATTATGCAACACGTGGTCTAGCGATACTTAGAAATGAATGCTCAGCCAACTATAGGAAGTTTATGCTGAATAATAATATTGATAATTTCTTGTAGGAGAACTAAATATAATGARTTACATACCTCTGTGCTACTTGGCCGGATAGCAAATTAGTTAATATTCTAAGGAGCTTCTTTCTTAGTTTAACTTTCCTTCGACACGCTACATCAACTTATCACCCAAATCAAACTATCCGATTACGGTTATGTGATACGAGCATAATCACTGGTAAATCATTAACATGCACTAATAAATCCAACGATAAAATAATAAGGTGTGCAAAGGTGAAAGGTTTTGGAAAAGCTTTTCTAGTTGGCTGTACAGCTTACTTCCTCAAGAAACGTTTATGATATTGTTTTAATGTATTTTTAAATTTTTATTTTATGATATTTGGTAAATATTTTCACAAGTTCAATAACAAATAAACTTTAGTTTTTCCACAACATTTTAATGGTTTACTTGTTAAAATAATAAAATGCTATCTTCAGGTTTTTTCCTAAAATAAATTCTAACTTTTTGTATTTTGATACAGAAAATAAAATTCTATAGGAAAATATATATACCACAAAACATATGTTATACTAAACAGGGGYGTAGCATCCTTTATGCATATACACATGTGCGTAGTTGAGAATTTCACCATATGTTCTAAATTTACTCTTTCTGTAATAAATAAAGTGCATTGAATATCTTTATAATGGCCCAATAGGTTTATTTGGACAAAAAAAAMCCCAATATTATTAATATGGTTCTCAGTTGAGTGAGAAAAGAAAAAGTTTTGAGACATGAAAACTGCAATGTTGTTAGGGGCAACCTAAATGCTTCTTTTTGACTTGAATACCTTGTTCATTACAAGCATGCCCGAATGCTTGTCTCTGATTAGTCTCCCTCGCATCCGTTTTTAGGGTTGGTCGTGACGCAAAGCTCCCTCCCTCCCTCTCATTGCGTGACGACCGACACTAAAAACGGATGCGAGGGAGACCCTGGATAAGATTTCCTTGATACGGACATGATAAATAGATATTTTTCTCTATTTTTAGTGATTTTTCTTCTTAAAATCAAATATTATAGTWCTTCTAATAACAATCTATCATAAATAGTGTTTCATGGTTGTGTTTATTAAATCCTACTGAACGAAGTGCAAGACTTACTGCTGGTGAGAGGAGTCAGAAGTAGATTTAATATTTTGAGAGAAGAAGTTAAAAACATTGGGAATGCTATTACAGTAACCATATTTTTTGAAGCATTCCTGTACAGGAAGGAAGTGCGCAGACACTCAGTGAACCACTACATTCATCACAGACAATTTCAATGAATACAGGGATGATGGATAGTTAATTTCCAGTCAAATTTGCTAAAGTTGTCAATATAATAGAGGTTAGAAACRTAATGGTGTACATCATACATAGCTCAGTATAAGTATCCAATCTTAGATATCAACTTAGGGTTAAGGAATGGTTACGGCAGAGATGTTAAATCGACCCTGTTTGATGGTAACTTTTATGGTAAATAGCATGTATGAGTAAAATGAATATCTTGCAGAAGTTCTGGTCAAGAAAAAGTCTAACAGAAATATCACATATTTTACAAGTACTATTTGATAGAGGGGTTATATACACATCCATTAGCTTTATGTGCAGACTTTATGTCCAGAGATCATACGACATGAGAGCTAGACATCAAGCCCTTGTTCTTACACATACTGCATACTATACAGTATTTATAAAATGCATTACATATCCAGGCCAGTCACTAGGGGTATTTTGATGGTTTGAACATCCCCCTCCACCTTTGTAGGAGTATGAAATAATGTTTAACTTTATTTTAGCTTTTTGACTAAGATTGGTAGAAAGACGAACCTCCTCTTTCAAGGTCCTAGCAGCAGGCCTGATATTCATTATAAATTTTCAACTGACAGGGCTGTTAAAGCGTTATGAGTTAACGAAATAAAGCACTACTCATTCCAAATATTGTATATACCGTGAGCTCTCACAATAAAAGAATTCCACCCATAAGGCTAAGGTTAAAAATCATGTCATAGGCTCTAACAATAAGAATATGTCCACACTTATAGATAGTCCATCCATATAGCTCCAGTATGTCACATTAAAATTATACAAAAGCAATTTTTCCATTATTAAGAAAGGTAGCCCAATTGCACTTTTTTGATAGGAAGTCTTATTTGATATATCTTTAAAGCGTGTAAGTACATAAATACTAGTCTTGGTCATATTTCAATAAAATTTCAATGGACTTAAGTATACATATTTAGAGCTATTATTTCAGATTGGGCTTCACATGGACAGTAACCACACTACAGACATGCAATAAGTAATGATAATACTCCATCATACTTGCAGTAAGTTAGTTGTGCATGCATTCAGTATGACTTGGATGTCTTGGTTCTTGTTGGTAAATATTCTTCAGTTTTCCTGAACAGGAAGTTGAAGAAAGCTAGAATGCTGAGCTGTCTGTGTGATCTCTGTCCAGGGTAATCATAGCTTGAGTCTAGAGATGAAGTAACATGAAATAGACTTTAATATAGCACTTATAGCACATTATAGCTCTTATAGCACATTATAGCACTTATAGCACATCATACATGCATTTCAATACTCCCATTTTCAGTTGGCCTTTGCTCAGTCCTAGCCTCGATTGTGTACAAATGTGTTCTTTTCTTTTATTAAGGTTCATTGTATAGTAAGGAATGTATATATGCACTACAGAACAATACAAGTTGATCAAAAGTCTATGGGTTTTGGTTGAATGGTTGAATAGTTTAATGCACAAACGAGGTTAAGGCTGAGCAAAAGAGAACTCGAAACTACACTTTACAATCTTTGTTGAGCTTTGTTGAAGCTCAGCAAAAAACAATAGATTTGACATCAGTCAGCAAACATGAATCAAATTATCATGTACAAATATAATAATGTTATAAATGTCAACTACCATGCAGAACTACTTGGCATAAAATACGATTCTCCTTTTTAGTACAGTACATGTAAATAATTTCAATCAACATCTGACTAAACACATTGTTTTGATTTGTTGTAGAGGCCATGAATTAAATATGTCTATTCTAGGTTATAAACTAATATTGAAAATATTTTTCCAATTATCTCTCTATGGGATGTCCAAATCCTTAGCTTGCTTTTAATAGAAATGATYGTTTCCAGTTTCAATGATAAAATGTAAAATATTACCTTCACTTTCTTGTCCACTTGCTGTTGCTGTAGGAAGAACATTCTCACTTGCCGACAGTGAGACAAAAAAAGAAAAAGGCAATATCCATAAGCAGATGGTAAAATATGCCAAAACCTACAAAAGCAAATGTGTGTGAATTAGGGTAAAGGCGAAATAGTGAGTCACTGCATATTCCTTTGTGTAAGACGAAATCTGGTCAGCACAGTTACTGTTATAGAGCCATAGAAATTTGGAACAATATAGACGATGAATTAAAGCAGTAAACATTAAGAGCTTTTAAGAGAAGACTCAAAAACGGCATGCTGGAAAACTATTTCACTTAATGTACATTTTTATAATAATACCTGCATGCGTAAGAGTTGTCATACGAGAAGGGGGGGGGGCATTGTGGTTTGGAGTGGTGGGGGTGCATTGAGGGACAAAGGAGGATCACTGGTAATATTGTTTCTTTTGGTGTATTCCCATCTTTTTCCAGTGGTAGCTTTCTTGCATTTAAGTATAATTAATGTGAAGTAATTTTAAATTTTATTTTTTTCTATTCTTCTATATTTTAGTTAATTTTAATTAGATTTTATAATTATTGATTGTAAATTGGTATTGAAAAGCCTGAAAGAGTATGCTAATAAAGTAATGTATGTAAAGGTTATAGGTGTTCTGGAAATATGCACTTCTGGAAATGAATACAATATAGCTATCAATACAACTACATTTATAAAGTATTTTAGAATGACATGTGCGCTCTGATTGGTGGCTTTTTTTTTCATTGGATTTCAAATGGAATTTAGGGTATTACTGTAGGTTTTGTTAAGGGAGAAAAACTGGAGAACCTGGAGAAAAACCCTCAAAGCACAGAAGAGAACCAACAAACAACTCTACTTGTGAACATACAGTATGACATACGAAATTGTTATTCCATGCAATCTTACCTCAGAAAAGGGATACCAAACTTGAGAAAAGTGTTGGAATGCCAAGTAATGATTAATAAACACAGAAGCTATAAAACAAACATGATATTAACAGCTGGCCATTATCRACATAAGCCTTTAATCAACCTTGAAAGTTTGGTTGACTAATGCATTCCATAATGAGGCAAGAGAAAGCATATGGATCGATACACACCATAAACACTTTAGTTTTAATGAACCTTGAAACAACTTTAGGCCTGGGCTAATCAAGGCATATAGCTAACTCAAAGATCTATCAAATTCGATTTTAGCATGTTTGTTTTCGTAGAGGGAGGAAAACCAGAGAACCTGGAGAAAACCTTGGATCAACGGAGAGATCTACTAAGATCTACTGATATGTGATGTGGAGAAGTGGAATCAAACATGTGACCCAAGAAGAAAGAGGCGCTACTACTCCCTCGACCCCATTACAGTCAATGTCCTATACTTACCAATAGAAGCTATGAATACAGGTGAAGTCAAATCAATGAAGGGAAAATCTTTCAGTAACATGGAATATATTCCATTAGATACCAAGCCTATTGCTATCATCAGCCATGGGAAACCTTCAAACACCAGAAGACATATGTATACAACTGTAACTGCCTGTGAAAGACAAATRTACAGAAAAAAATTGCTAGAGTTCCCTAAAATATTCATAGTAAAATTGTTGTAGTATTCCTTATTCCTTGGATGATTCTAGCAGATTCCCTACCCAACTAAAATTTAATCTGTGTTAATAATGTAAATAAATAATAAATGAAATAACACATGTGCATTAGTGAATAAAGTGGCAAGGATTTTTGTGATTTGCAAAATGTTTTAAATACAATGTGTGGCCAGAACTGTTGCCAGAACTGGCAAGGCAAAGATTTGACTCCAGTCAAACCCTAACGCATTCATTTTAATCAGTAATGTTTAGACAGAAGTGAGTTATGACTAAGCTAAAGCTAATTTGACCTGTGATCATGACCAGGAGCTGATTGGTCATTATAAGCCCTGTTGTTTTGGATTGTACGAGTGGGCAATAATCCTCTATTTCGTTAAAGTGCTACTACGACGAAAATCGCTCAAACTTGGATTCAGCTGAAACTTCCTAAAAATACTCTTTAAAGGTCCAATAATCACTGTATGAAGTGTTTTCTCAATATTCAGTACGAAAGTATGATATTTTTACGATTATTTTTTGGAGTCTGTGACGTCATACACTCAACATCAAACATTGCTACATATATTTCTTTGTATATAAATCCTTAATTTATTTTACTCCTATGAAGCCCAAAGGGTGGCTAATGAGCTTATTTCACATTACTTGTGACTATAATTTATATTTTGGGGTGTTTGGGTATTTCTTTCTCCCTTTACTACTGATATTTTGATCATAAACTACAAAGAAATGTATGGAGCGATGTTCAATGTTGAGTGTATGACGTCACAGACTCCAAAAAATAATCGTAAAAATATCATACTTTCGTCCTGAATATCGAGAAAACACTTCATACAGTGATWAYTGGACCTTTAAAGAGTATTCTTAGGAARTTTCAGCTGAATCCAAGTTTGAGYGATTTTCGTCGTAGTAGCACTTTAATGTTTACTGCTGTTTTAAAGACCACAGACTCATTTGTGTTGGTTTAGCCTTGTCTATATGTCAGCCATTCTAGATACTATTAAAAGTCAGTGCAATTTAAAAAATTGGTTGCACATTTCCATTGTAGTTAATTTTTGTCAATGGTTACTGTAAATAAGGTTAATTATTTTTTTCCGGTCCGGTATCCTAAAAAATCGTGCGCTCTGATTGGCTGTTTGAGCGGGCAGTATCTCCCCGCACTCACGGTCTGGTATCCTTTGCCGCTAAACAATAATCAGTTTGTTTTTTATGTATATTCTTGACTGGCGGCAGTGAAAATCCAATTTCACAACAAGTCATCAAAATGTCTGAGTGTGCAGAATATCAAAATCACAACAGTGGGATGATAAAGGGGAAAAAATGCTGCCTCCTCAATTGCAGTAATGGCACAGCTCAATGGGGTTGAGCTGTAAACCAATCATGTCAGAGCAATTCAATTGCTGTATCTTTAGATATATTGATTACCTACGCATAGTTGAGTGATATGCTAAAGCGTACACTTTATTAACGAGTTGTAATGGACTAGTACATTATGTTTTATGAGCTGGGATAAGAAAAATAGACTCTACGAGGCACAAGCAAGCACACTTCTGTGTTTAATTGATGTCTCTCATTTTTGCATCACAAGGTACAATTAGTACATATAGTAAACTGCATCATATGACTAAAATATGAATCATAACTTTAAATATACTATTTAGAATCCCCCTAAATAATTAGTCATTTGCGTAAGYATTAATCAATTAAAATCCTCTTAATTACGAAGATTTTTCGAGATTTTCATCTCATTCATCAACAGAACCTGTCAAACATTTCATGCAAAGGTTTACTTCATACTTACTATCAGAATATATTTGATGATTTTAGCTGCAAGAACAGTGTATTCCTCCACCAGCTCAGCAAGATAATACAACGCAGAGGCTGTAGAGATAAATCAATCGTAAGTTAATGTCCATTAACACTTTACCTTATGAAACTATGTCAGGGGAAACGTTGTTTACGAACAATTTACCAAACAAAACATTCAAAATATCAATTTTTACCTAAGGCTAAGGTGAGGAATACGATTTGAAATAGTGTAGAAACCCAACTTAAAATGAAAAGGAACATTTCTATTGCACAATTAAGTAAAAAGTGACTAAAAAAGCAAGAAAATAAGTTCAGAGTCTTAGAAAAATATCTACTCGACGTGTGTAGATATGACGTCACACTATCAATAACCAGGCCTTCTAGGGATATYCGCCCGTAGAGAGTTATGGGTCAAATCGAAGGTGCGGTCGTTGGTGACAATAATGTGGCATAAAATTTACAAAAAAGCTTAAATTCAACGAGAAAAATACCCCCTTTTAGTTTTAAGGAATTTTTATAATAATTAGGGGGTCAAAATTTGCATTCGATTATTCTGTAAATATGTTGGTGTTGTTTGTGATGCAAGACGACCTCCGGCAAAGAGGCCAATTTCCGTGTTTCCTCACAAAACATTGGGGAAAATAAATTCGCATTTAATTGGTTATTTAGATGTAATTTCCACTGTAGTGCATGATTGTTTTCAGGTATTTAACCGCGATTTGATGATTCTTTTGTCGCGCAGAAAACTCTCGTTGCTTYTCTGAAAACAGTTACAATTGTTTTTAAAATATTCTTGGAGTAGTATAGTGAATCGGTCAGTGCAATTTTACTATAACTGAGTACTTTGTAGTTGCTAATTACCCAGCGTACTGACCTYCCAAAACACAGTTCATACAGCACTCAATGCAATGCCGAATCCGCGACAAAATTGAAATCACTTGGTCGGTAATTTCGAGTTGTTTCGAGTGCTTTAGAGCTTATTTCCTAGATAATTTCAGGGCATTCAAGAGATAGACAAAAAACCGCCACGACTCGACAACTCGATTAGCCCGGCTGTCATCCATTGGAAAAAGCAATGAATGATTCAGGAAAAGAGCATTCGTCATTCTACTTTCTCATTTTAGTATAAACTCTTTTTTTTTTAATTAGTCACAATATGCCGGTTATTAGATAAAACTCGATTTTCGGATCGTTGTCTGGCTTTAGGTGTATTGAGAGCAAATTTCAAAACACAAACTGAAAACAGACTCGAGATCTCGTAGAGTAAATCCAAAGTGATCAAATAATATACACACGTTAAAAATGACGATTCAATTCGTCATTTCTTTCTTCTTCATTTCTAATATTTGCACGAAATTGATAGAAAAATACGATTAAAAAAGACAAAGGCCAGAAAAAAGGAAAACATCAAATTCTCTATTACGGGAAGGACCTGTGACGTCACTTAGAAGTTCAAATGTGATTGGTTCGCTTATCTTTGTCTCTGTTCTCTTGATTAACCGACATCAACAAAAATACCGACCTCTTCAACAACCCGCTCACAAAAAATTATCACTAGCAGGACGTCAAAGTATGTAAGCACATTTGGGTCCTGAGGGAAACAAATAGATCCAGAATATGTACTGGAAGAAAAAGAGTCCTTTTTCAAGGATATTAATGTTAGTAATAATGATCCTGTTCTGGTYTGTCCTAACTGAAGAATCTACGACTTTTGATCAAAATTTGCCAAAAATGGTCAAACAAGGCCAGTTTGTACTACGCTGTATCAAAGAGGTATGATTATTTAATTAATAGTCAAGTCAGATACGACGAATTTGTCGATACTGTTTTATTTTAATTATCTCACATATTTTATGGTTCCTCTTTTGTCTTGTGTTCAGTACGGCAACAAGATTCCAGCAAAACAAGTGAGTTTATCTGATTGATTGATTATTTTATTTCATTCATTCATTTTTTCTATTTGAATAATCTTAATTTGAGCAGAAAAAGCCGTGAWTACTTTGTTGGTTTTTCAACCAGAAAAAATTCATTTGAATTTCGTTTGATTCTTGGGCTGATATTCCATTATGACAGAAAGTGTAAGATTTAAATAAAACTATTYCAAAATGAAAAACACATTAAGCCACTGACCATCGCGTCGACTCATTTCTGGTTCGAATGGTAGACGGATTTGCGAACTCAAAGACATAATCCTCTTTTGAACCTCAGTAATTCTTACAATCATTCAAGATAAAACGGGGAATATTTATTTCTTTTGTCATAGCAAAGAAAAACCATTTCTTAGACCGGTCTCAATCAGTTGCATAACGCGGGGAAAAAATAAGATAATCGCAAGGATTTTCAGAATAGTTTAACTACACTGTGCACTGTGTCGTGATGTACATCTCAGTCAGTTTTTCTAAATTGATAAGCACAGAACTAGTACACTATCACAGTTTGATTATCGGAGTAGGTTACGCGTAAATGTTTGTTATACATCTCAGACATTTTAATTGTTCAGTGCTAAAGAGAGGCGTAGTTTTGGCTAAACCCACACACCGTTCCATCAGTGTAGTGCCTTTTCAGTCCTATTCATGTATTGGCCAGCCTCTATTCTATTACTATACTATTTGGTGCCCGCAAAAAGCAACATCTTTAAATAGTAGCATAAAAATATTTTGATTTTAAGCCACTTGATGTTGGGCTAATTAATCGTATATGACAATCTAACAGCAAGCTTTATAGTTTTCATATAGACTTTATAAAACAATAGTGACGTTTCCCATCTATGACATTGTAATTRCTGTTTGCGCTAGTAAAAGATGACAAAGAATCCATTTTCATCGATATTTGGTTGAATATCGATGTCTTGTCATATTTTACTAGTTCAGTTTAAAGATTGTCCTCTCTCCGCACTTTGGTCATTTGCTGATGCTGCAAGACCTATCCTAGATGTTTTTAGTACTGACCGACAATCAGATTGCAAGCATTTCGTCTTCCAGCTGTTTGTGTGTGTATGTCGCTAATATCCTTGCCTATTATGAACATTTCTAAGTAATCATCTTCTCAGGCGGAAAGCCATTCGAATTTTGTGGTCTTAAAAATTTCAAATACTTTAATCGGAAATGAATAGCATTTAGTCCCATTTCACCTTGCTCGCTACAAAAGAATTGCTTTCTTATTGCTTTAGATCGATTATCGATATTATATGACATTAACTTTTTCTCGGGAAAAAAACAAATCTCTCGTAGCATTTCAATTAAATATCTAAATATAAGTCAAAGTGACCCAAGGACTTATAAAGTTGTAGCTGAGCCCTAGCGTATCCTGAAACATCATCGTTTTACGACAAATCCTCAGATTGATGCATGTTTAGTCTTAAGAATATAAAAGAAAAGTGCTGAATTTTCGATTTCTTCTTCRAGGGCGGTTCCAGGAATTTGTGAGAGGGGCCAGGAGGAGAAGGAAGGGGGGGGGAGGGAGTTTCAAACGTATATTCATACAAGATTTACGTCCAACCTGTGACAAAACTARATTTTTGGATAAAACAATTGATTGAATCCCAGGCATGACAAARTTAGCCYAAAGTTTTCTTMTCYCTATTTCYAGTGATATCTTAACATGTAWAGATAACACCATTAGTAAGAATTCTTAAAAATCGCATTAAATACTAAAAAAATTAAAATTGTATTTCCTTGCATCGATAATATTACATGGCCGCTTAGAGATATGGATTTTATCTTCGAATATCTTACTCGTTCGGTGCATGCGCTCTCTCGTAAGATATCACTGATCAACACTCGAAGATATAATCCATATCTCTGCTCGGCCATGTAATATATCCTCTAGTATTTAACAAAGTTGCAAGAGGAACTCCACTCTATCTACACCATCGATCACGTTCTGTCAGGAGGGAAAAGAAAAAGAAAATCAGACTTCTAGTGAATTTCACTTTTCCTTTTTCTTTAAGTTTTAAGAAGTCAGTCAGTTACAGGTCTGAAACCGTTTATGAGCAGAAGATATTTATAACCGTATTGATGTTTTGTTCCCCAGGGCATGGACGAACTCGCGTTCAGGCACTTCACATGTTCCAATGATCAGTGCAATAAGGTATTTTATTCATTSATCAAAGAGCGCTGCTTGTTTCGGTATCTAAGTAAAGCCTCAATGAACAGTTCGATAAAACCGGCTACCCTTCGCCAATGAAAAGGAATCAGTTAAGGCCGACCAAAGCTTGATTCTATCAATGAATTTTKATGTGCAGGTACAAATGTATTTATCCTCGCGAAGGGCGGAATTTGAAACCAGGTTTCGCTAATAGTGTGTTGATGGCCAGAGACCCCAGCTACTCGGAGTGTTCATTTGCCTCCCCTCCCCTCCCCCTAGAATTCAGGTAAATACATTATATTCTACCTTTYGTTGTAGTGTTTAAATCCTGGGAAGTTTATAACAAACGGTTCATCCTTTCTTGAAAACTGTCTGTCACAGTGCCAGGTAAGAACTTCGTCATTTGTCGTCATGACAACTCATATCCAATCAAAGCATGGCAAGTTTCCCTACTGGATCCTATTTATGTAGGTTATCTGATAGATTCTTGTCTTTATTATTTCATTTGGGAATCCAAAGAGTAAYAAGAACTTGAGCGGTGCTGCTTGTGATAAAGGTTGCGAGATCCTTCATGATCTACATGCAGGTATGTAGGCAATAGACTACTTTGATGGATGATACGGCGGCCATCTTGGATCGCAAGGCACTATGGGGCGGCCAAGGAACAGAACAAAAATGGCGGATTATACATAGTTCTGTCGGTTTGTCTTTCTATCATGTGTAAAGGTGATCGATCTGCCGTCTTTGGCTCTGACAGGTGATGTCATGGATAAATTGGTTTTAGCCGTTAAGAAGATCAACCTATGTTGCATAGTAAACTTCGTCAATAAGCTGCTCTTTTCTGCCTCTTATACTTAGTCTGCAGAAATGACGACCCCTCGTCTCTTATTAAATTGTAAATACTGTAGCAAAGTCTTATATAATATCAATGACTGATCAATAATGTTTAGCGATCCAAGATAGGGCAGCCGTATCGTCAAAGTAGTCTATATCACTGACGGTCTACATTTATTGCAAGATTTATTTTTGCTTCGCTTTATCAGAATCAGCTGGGTCCACCGGCATTCCGATTGACAAAGACACCAAAAATCATACCGTGTTAGAAAAGTTATCCCTGGAGTGTCGCACTACACGATCTATGCTCATCCACTTTGACGTCAGATACAAGAGTCATCACGTGATCAACGAACCAGTAGGATTTATCTTTTACTTACGTGTATTTAACAAACGAGGGCTATGGACGGTTTCTTATGACTTTGTAAGTTTTCTTTCTTATAGAGGYCATGCACCATCACGTGACGGCAGCCATGTTAGATGGCAGGAACAATACARTCGTTTTACATGAGAAAGAATTCAATTYCCAAAAGCAAAAGGATTTGATTGCTCTGYCATCTAACCACAGGCAGCCCAATCTGTATTATGGGCGCCGGCACGTGATGGTGCAAAGCCTCTATAGGCTTGCTTAAGAGAGTTAAGGAATAGTTTATATTTAAATGCACGAAATAAAAGCAATTATCATCATCATTATCATTATTATTACAATATTATTATTGTTATCAATTTTGGCCCAACCCRCTGGAATTACAGCTCTAAGTGTGACCTCATTTGGAAAAAATCGCTTCCGGATCCAAAAGAGATCCTGCCGGAAATACGTCACTAGTTCTATTCCCCCAGTGATAATCCGGGAAATTTGAGCCATCTGCTTCAATGTTATGATCAATAATCAATAATTAATAATCGAATAGTGCCACTTCATGAAGTCTTACATGAAGTTCTAACCGTGTTATGTTACAGATGCCTGACAATTTACTTCATGTTTCAACTTTACCATATCCACCAACCTCCCTCGAAGTTAATGTTGCTATGGTTACGCCAAAAGGCATAGTGGAAAAACCAGTGGTCATCCAAGGTTCTTCGCTGTTTAACAGAACTTTTACCTCAGRTGTTTTTCATTATCTCAACACTAAAGGTATTAGAAATATTATGATATTATTTAATAGATGAGGCGGTAAGCCGTGTTGGATGGGCTCGGAAATCGTATAAGAACATGGGTAACGTGTTCTGATATAATGTAAGATGACCCAAACATTCAAGCTAATCGATAAAAATATGACGTTATTTCATTGTAAAAATTGCCAAAACTTCCTTGTTATGCATGCTGCATCATTGTGTAAAGTAATGCGGGAATTATGCGGGATAAATCAAACTTGGTGTAATAGTTACAGTTTATGAATCAAAGCTGGCTCTCAGTTCTTTCTGAACCCGGCATCACATGTCGACAGCGGTGTTTGTTAATGTTGCATGGGTCTCTCCCTTGAATCGGGCGTTTTTCACCTTTAGATTCTTTCGTTTCTCCTGGCCCTGAAAACCTAACAAGCTAATCTGTGAGTTAGCCATGGCCTAAATTTGGCCATCCCAGAGGTATTATATTTCGAGGTTTAATTTGTGAGTAAACCATGTCCTGACTTAGACCAGCCCAGAGGTTGTTTCAGGGTTCAATCTGTGAGTAAACCATGTCCTGACTTAGATCAGCCCAGAGGTTGCTTCAGGGTTCAATCTGTGAGTTAGCCATGCCCTGACTTAGATCAGCCCAGAGGTTGTTTCAGGGTTCAATCTGTGAGTTAGCCATGCCTGACTTAGACCAACCCAGAGGTTGTTTCAGAATTCGATAAAATGACGTGTTCTGTACAATATCACTAGGAAAGACGGATACGAGTTTACAGCCGGTAGTGAACTACAGCTACTCATTTCATTACCAAAAGTCCAAGAATGACCAATCTAAAGCAAAGCTCTTCTGTATAGTCACGTGGAAACCGCCTGAGCCGAGTAAGTTTAATGAATAATAAATAATAATAGTCTATATAACTATCACATTATCAATAAACAATTGAGCATGATAACGTAAATTATCAAGAGCAATCACGGGTTTAGTGACTTCACTCGATTATGATGGTTGGATGTAATGAATATGATGATATTATTAATGACTGCAACTATGATACGATAGTAATCTCATAACAATGAAATTGTTTCCCGTTTAGGCCGGCCATGTGACTATGATATTGTTTACGGTCAAGAAAAAGAAACTTCTATAACTCGACATCAAAAGTMCTTCTCAGGCATGAAGGCGACTCCGGTAAGTCTTGCGCATGCGTKCCACGGAGAGTACTATGGTCGAATCGAATTCAATCTTGTCCAGAGCGTGCGTTTTTCTTGGTCAGTRCCGAGGAACGGTAAAGGAGGAACGGTGTTGACCAAAAGAAACGGCTCTGGACGAGATTGAAACAAACTCCTATGTTTCTGATTGGCTGCTAATCCGAAAATTCCAATCAAATCTGAAACTCGACATGTTCTAGTTTTGTCCCTGGACCGTGACCCTACAGTTGTAGATAGCAGTTTGCTTTGGTCAAAGTTTTTAGTTGAGCTGTTTTCAGAAAAAGCATGTTTTTTTATTCTTTACACCAAATCCCTTCATTTCTTCAGTTTCATATTTGTTCTTTCCTCTTTTTAGAATTATTATCTTCCAAATTACACCGTTACATTACAAAACTTCGATTTTGAGAAAGAAAAACTMGTTCTGAAGGTGAGAGTTCATATTTCAGTACACTTTTTACAACTGAGATCAGGTTGGGATTTTTTGCGAATCTTTCGTGTTGCTGGTGAACCATTTCCTCTTTCCCAGTCTCTCGCAGATTGAAATTCACAGGAAGACCAGATACCAACCTAGTGGCGCACAGGATTATGGGGATGATTTGCAACCCCACAATCCTTTGTATGAGTGCGACCTGTTGTGTGGAAACTAACTTCTCTTGCTCAACCCATTCTCTCTTATCACACAGTGATCGCAAGCGCTATATATAACTAATTGATTCTGCACTATTTGTTCTCTTGCAGATATTTTCACTTGATTATATAAATTTATATAGAAACCCTATGAACGAAAAAGTACTAACAATAACAATCAGCAAAACACCTTGTAAGTGCAGAAATTATTTTTCTTTTTTACTTTTATCCGCTAAAAATTATCCTTTCTCTCACCAATGTGTGCATAGGGTAAGGATGAGATCTCCTTTCTCACTTGATAAATAATTATGTTGAACCAATCATATTACTTGATGTATGTAGGTTATGCATATAAAAGGATCACTTAAACAATTTGTTTTTCTTTTTGTAGCTTGTATGAATATAACAGGAGGCAATTATACTTTATGTCGTAAGTAGCTTGACTTAACCATAGCTTTCAGTCCTTGGCTATATTTGGACGTCAAGATCGAGGGGTACATACATGCATGATAAGTATATTTACTCGGGCTTTCTATATAATGCCGAGGTAAACATTTTGTTTGCTTTTTTTGTGCTGTCACAGTTCGTCCTCACGGCGCATGCGCTCTGTGCCGCTGAGTTTAAAACACAGGTCCACAACTTAAAACATWCATCGCTTATATCGTATTTCCTTAATAACTCGAAAAAACCGTCTTCCATATAGCAGTTGCCTTGAATTTAATCACAGGAAGTCCGAGTGAATGGATTTAGTCGTCTTGTATTTGGTTGGGTGTCTGACGGAAAACTGGTCAGCGGTCGAGTGTGAAGAGCATGTACGAAAAGTATAGGAAGTATATAAGTATAGGTTTTTACTAGTAATGATCTACTTTTTTAWTACGATTCCTTTATTTCTGGAGTCATTGTCTCTTCTTCAGGCGATTTCCTGCCACCAGGACCTCCTATTTACGTCAACATGACATCATCACGTTACCTAGGCAACGCTACATCCCAAGTCACAATAGAGTGGCTGCCACCTTTGGCAAGCAGAAACCCTATTCTTGGCTACTACCTTATGTATAACAACGACGCTTTTAAGCCTAAGCTACAATCTTATCGTGAACGAGTGAAATGGGCTGTTGGAGCAGTAAGTGACATTTGCAAATCACGCCATGGAAGATCTTTAATGAGTAGAGTTACAGGGTTTTCAAATATGCAAAAAATATCAGAATTTCAACMCCCTTATAAGTTTCTGCTTCTATCCTTTTGTTTCCAGAATATAACATCTGTAGAAATCGTGGTCAAAACAGGAATCAGTTACAGCTTCTCGGTGAGAATATCATTCGTATTTTTATATTATTGTATGATTTTGTTCATTATTCCTTAAGATATGTTAAGTACCATTTACGGCCATTTAAAGTAATACGGATGCCATCCTAAATTTTGTTCTTTCTACCCAAAAGCTCTTTCTACCCAAAAGGCTTACCCAGGTCCCATGTAACAAGCAGTTCTCAATCTTCCATACGTTTTGCACAACATTTTGTGTGGAAACGTTGAAGAATTGTTCGACATATATTCAGCATATCCGAACATTTTAACCACATTTCCTTGTTTTTGAAAGGGTAGCACTCGAATTACAATGTACGAGTTGATTTTTGCCGAAGAAAAATTGGAGAAAACGCTGGAAGTCTAGAGAACGAGAAACGACTATACTCTTATATGATCGAATCCATGAACACAGCAACGACATGCGGCATATTAGCAATATTACCCACAACGCACACTACCCATACATGCATGCTTTCTGTAGAAGCAACAATGCATATCAATTAAAGTCCGAACTCTCACAAAATCTTGTTAATGTTACCTTTATACTGATTCAGATTGTAGCATATTCCATCAAGGGAAACGGTTCAATTCATCTACTGGACTTCATGGCGCCATGTAAGTTCACATCTAAAAAATACTAACGCTACTGCGGAAGCGGTAATCTAGCGCACTTCATTCGAAACGTTCATGGCGAACGTTTCCGGCCATGTTGGTCAAAGGCGTATCAGCTGATGTTGAAAATAGTGATATCCAAAATGGCAAGCAAAAGTTTTTGTACATAAAATAATTTTGCTTTAGATAACGTATCCTCATATCGGGATAAAAGCCTTGTAGGTGTTTCAGTTGCCAACACAGTAATGGCACTGAAGACTCGAGAAATGCCCTTACTGWTTCAGTTTACTCTTTTCTATTTTAGGGCCTCCCACACTAAATGTCAACAGCACTATCCCTCATGATACCCAGACGAGTGGTCATGGGTTTGTATACCTTGTAGTGTGTGGGGTGCTTCTTCTACTCATCTTATCTACCATGGGAGGTGGTAGATACGTGTACAAGAAACGAAGAGCACGTGAAGCTATGGCAATGAGGGTACAGCTACGAGATGAGTTTATTGAAGAAGGGTAAGTGTATACAACAGCAATTTTGAAACATAATGTAAAGATTGAYTATTTTACAATAACTCAGTTACAAATTTCTCGCGCGCTGATTGGTTATTTTTTATCATCAATATAAGAGAACAGACAGATAAAGCTGACGCCAACGAGCGCGCGTTCTTTCCGTTAGTTGTTTTGATCAGTAAAAATGAGAAGTTTTTATCGTTTTTGTTATTGTAAAAAACAAATTGACATCAGATTTTATGTGTCTGTCCTCTTATTGACAATAAATTTCGCCATCACATTGTCAAAGTAGTATGCGGGTCCACGAGGCGCACACTACTTTGACAATGTGATGACGCAATTTATCGTCAATAAGAGGACAGACACATAAAAATCTGATGTCAATTTGTTAACGTGACGTCATAGTATCACCATCCCCAGGCCCCACAGACATGCGCGTGATATATGTCTAAAAGTGAATATAATGCTACGATTTCAAACGAGTTTGAAGATTTTTTCTCTATGGTTTTGTTGTCAGTCTAATGCTGCCCATGATAGAGCCTGATGAATGGGAGGTGGATTACAGTAGTATTGTCCCTGGTGAAGAGATTGGATCAGGTGCATTCGGTACCGTGAGCAAAGCGAGTGTGATTGGTTTACCAGGATTCCCCGACCAGAAAGAAGTCATTGTAGCTGTCAAGACACTGAAAGGTAAAAAGCCATACTAACTGGTCTGACAGGTTAAGCAGGTCCATCAAACCACTAGCATAGCAGGCGTTACTGGTTGGGGATGGGAAAGATTGGGGTCAATCTTCAAAGGAGCCAACCAACCAGGAACGCCTATGAAAGAAAAACAGGTTGGACTGGTTTAACGAGATTTTCCAACCAGAAAAAATTCAGATTAGCCAAAAGCTGAAAGAGGTAAAGTAAAGCCTTTCAAGCTAGCAAGAGAGAGAGAGAGAGAAAAAGGAAAGAATAGAGAAGAGAAGAGGAGAAAAGTAGTAGTGTCCTTCAATAACAAGCTCATATTTGTTGTAGCCATGGCAACCTTAGAAGACCGCAAAGATTTTCTGGCTGAAATCGATATGATGAAACAGATTGGCAAACATCTGAATGTGGTCAGCATGCTGGGCTGTGTTACTCAGGGGGGTCCCCTCTGTCTTATCACCGAGTACTGTCGCTATGGAAACCTGAAATTGTACCTTCGATCGATAAGAGACAAGGTAAGTAAAACAACAGCTCTATATTACAAAGACCAAAATAATTCCAGTGAATTAATCGGAGTAAATGACCCCCAAATATTTTATTTACAAACAACAAMATTTATTACAGTCAATATATTATCGTTCATGATGTTGATATCTTGATTTAGAATAAAAAGCATCCCCATTTCAAGCTGGGTCCAGGCTTTTCGCCTACTCCAATCTCTGGTCGCCGTAAAATCAGCTTACAGAAGCAACGATACAGCAATACCTTGGTGAGGATTTTTTAAAGAAATATAAAATGATTGAGCGCCTATCAACTGTGATGAAGACGGTTCCTTCTCGGTACTATACGACGGTCGTTAAATTTCTATTTCTATTCCATGTTATAATATTATGTCCTTTGCTTTTCTTTAGCCAAAAAATATAAACAAAGAAACGTCAACTGAGAGCCTCTCTACGAGGAACAAAGGTAGGTTATAACCTAACCCTGCAGTAACCCTTACCTCATACCCTATACCCTGCAGCTGAAGAGCCTTTACAAGACAGGCAGTTTTTTTCTTTTGTAGCGTTCTCCCTATCTCCACTTCTGTTTAGAAAGAACAAAGCTTTGAATGGAAATACTTCGGATAAGAATTCATCAAGGTAAGATAAATTATGAGTATACTATAGTAAGATTGTAGTAAGATATGGATGTTTTTGAGTATTTCATAGTCAAAAGCTATAAGGCAAATGACAGGCGCCACGCAATGATCTATCATGCTGATAACGATGGCGATGATACATAATGAATATAATATTGATAATGATGGTGATGGTGATGATTGTCAGCAGCCATATATCATATGAGAAGAAACTCAAGCAACGAGTGTAAGAGTGTTTACTAAAAGTGAATCAATTGATCAATCACAATCTACGTGTTGTCTTTGTCGTCAGGRATTGCCTATGCATGGGTGCTTGTAACTGCAGCAGCATATCACCTACTCGTTCTCTTGCTTCATCCTTGTGTGATGATTATTGCRACGAACAAAGAAGAGAAAGCCTGAGTTCCTGCATCAGTGGTATCAGCAATAACAACAAGAGAGGACTATCCAATGCTAACCTGTCAGTCTCTACTCATTCCAGTATTTTTGGCGACGAACCTTCGTCAAAACTCCTCTCCCCACCGCTGACACCAACCAAGGTACCAAACTCCGACAACTCTCCGACGAAGCTCCAATCTCAAACCGATTATCACTCGGTCGGAAACCTTGCTGAAATGAACRAGTGTTCAATACTTCTCACGCCTCAAATGGCCCGCCATCCACGAAGAAATTCTTTTGGAGAAAAAAACTCTCGAGAAAGGAAAGATATCTGTATTTTTGTTACCGAGGCTGAGCCCGCAGTTTCATTCTCAAGCGGTAAACATACTCAAAACAATGCCTCATGGGTAGCTGACTTTGATCAAGCACAAGTGAATGGAAAGAGGACGGAAGAAATTGTCTCTAATGGCAAACAACTTAACTCCACAAGTAATTCTAAATCAGTAGTAAGAACGTTCCCATCAGGTAAGCTAATGCAAGGTATTTCGTTGTATTTTCCCCCTCAAAAAATCATTAAACAACCTTGTAGATTCCTGCCTAACCTCTTTATGTTATTATACATATGAACCTCTCATACCTAGACTTTGAGCAACTACRAACAAGCAAAAATTTTTCCGTATTTCACTGACAGGAAACATCTGTACCCCTTCTGAAACTAAAGAGRTCACTAAAGAAGACAACCGGAGAGAGTTGGGTCAAAATGAACTGATCTCTTTTGCAAGACAGATAGCAGTTGGCATGGTAACGAGCAACTTAGTCTTCTAGTCTTCTAGTCTCTTAAAGTCCCTTGAAACTCATTGTAGTGTCAGCCCTACGGCGTCTTTGATAACGGGAGGGAGACTAGAACCGCGCCATGCAATAGCTGGCTGTGAAGAAGCTTCTTAGTAATTCTCAGGAATATTCAAGGCAGATATATTTTTGCGTCTTTGAAAAGATTTCTCAAGGGATAGTGCGAGGGGAGGAAAAAGGAAGGAAAAAATGAAAATGAACTTAACGAAGAGTCTTAAATAATATCAAACCATATTGTCCCATTGCACAGGAATATTTATCACAGAAGAAGTTTGTACATCGCGATCTGGCTGCCCGTAACGTGCTGGTCTGTGATGACAATCTAGTCAAGATATCTGACTTCGGATTGACGCGAGATGTCTATGAGAGCTTTGAGTACCACAAGTCTAATAATATTGGAAAACTGCCTCTGAAATGGATGGCACCGGAAGCGCTGTTTGAAAACGTACACACATCAAAAAGTGATGTGTAAGTACAAAATRAAAAAATAATTGTGTTTCTTCTTCCAATTAATCCAAGTAGAATTTTAAATGTTGATTTTTKGGTCGAAAGGGCGAAGTCATGGCCATTTTTCCACTGAGTCTATGTATTAAGTCTTTTAAAAATTGAAAAGTGGAATTTTGGGGAGGGAGGGCAGCTTTTTTGTGAAAGGCTGGCAAAAACACTGAATAGTTTATGAGGCAACTCATTTGGTCTTGGTTAGCAAGCAACAAGCCAGTGATTGATGATCTTCTCTATTCCTTGTTCAGATGGGCGTTTGGGGTGCTGTTATGGGAGATTATCACACTAGGTAAGTAGCTTGAAAACTGTATGCAGTTACTTTATAAGTGACGATAAGAGTGCCTTAAACTGCATCATCTACCCTAGGAGGAAGTCCTTACCCGGGTATATCTGGTAAGGAGCTGTACAAGATGCTMAAGAACGGATACCGCATGGAAAAACCGGAAATGTGCAGCTCTCAAATGTGAGTACCTCAAACTTGATGTGACGTTTTTCTAATGTCAGGAGCTGACAGAGTTGCATGATTGGTTAGGGTCTCATTCGAGCCCTGGAACACAGCTGTATCTCGGTTCCTTGAGCGACAGTGCCAAAAAAAGCCTTAATGATGGACCTGCGTTTTCTCTGATTCTATGACCGATCTTCTGGAGACATTTCTGACTTGCGCAATGAATCCCAGTAAGCAGAGTCTAACCAGTAACTTCTGTTGTTTGTTAGATACAACATCATGTTGTCGTGTTGGGCGTCGCGACCAGAAGAAAGACCTTCCTTCACTGATCTACGCAACCAACTGGAACGATTAATGGAAGTAGAAGATGAAGTGTACATTGAYGTGAACTTTGATGACGATGAATACTCTTTCCTTGTGCAAGACTCTAGTTCTGATACAAGCATATCTTAGGCCTTCATAGATTCCCCCATTAGTTTTCTAGCCGAGTCTCTGAGATGGTAATTTATTTCACTAATAGAAGCTAAAATCCTGAAGTATTGAGTTGTGTGGGTTGTGAAATTCTGAAATTTTCATAAGCGTAGACATAAAGATAGAAGATGTTGCTTCTGAAGACAACTGAAAACTCCTTTGGGTTAGGTATTGGTGTTATTAATTAGCTTGCATATACATCTGAACTCTTTCTTTATTAAAACAAAACCTATAGCAAGCCTCTCTGTATTTGCACTGTCCCTTCTCACCCACTCTCAGCAACAGGCCACAAGGATTGTGTAGTGGTGGTACACTTGCCTCCCACCCCCCGGGTCTAGGGTTTGATAGGTCTCTCCCTTGATTCAAGGATTTTTCTCCTGGTTTTGTAGAACYCAACACGCTAAATTTTAATTTGGTCTGTGGGTTACCCTTATCCTGGCTTAGATTATTTTGATGTATAGCTGTAGATAGGTTTGTGTATATCTCATTTGTAGTCAGTATAATTGTAAATATTGTTAAGTTTCAGTGCTAATGGATTTATACTTCAGCAAATTATGCTTACATTTGTCTATTATCCAAAATGTTTATCATTTCCCGGCAAGGAATGTACAAAACACATTACAATAAAAACCATTACAAATACCATTCGATTGTTTAACTATTATTCCATAATTATTACCAAATAATTTGATTCAGGAGATAATTTGATTACTTGGTGGAGGGACCAATAAAGTATAAATCATGTTTTATTAGAATTAGAAGCCAGAGTGCAGGGGCAAGAGGCCCTATAGACCACACCCACTTTTGGCCAATATTTTGGAAGTAAATAATAATTTTGAAATAAAAAATATATTCAATCCCTATTGTCCTAATATAGATGATATTTTGACAGCTTAACCATGTTATATTACCACTCCTCCATGTTTGCCTGTACCTCCTTGTATTAGCATAGTTCTGTGCAGTTCTTGGTACTGCTTGTTTGCTTAACACAAACGCCATTCTAAATATAAATAATATTACTCTATTTACTTTAAAATTCTAGACACTAAAACAAGATCATCTTGTAGCAGGAGAGGAACTAAGAGCTGCTTTAGCTCTGTTTAGTCTCATATTTTCAGTTCTCTGCATTTGTCTTCTTTTAGAAGCAGAAACTCTGTCTAAAGGAATCAAGTCTAATTTTTTATCTTCATCAATTTCAACTCTAGTTCTTCGTGCAAACGTCGGCCCCATTTCACTCTTTGATTTCACCACAAATGTTGATTCTGGTTTAGCTTTTGTAKTCGACATACTGGGGTAAGATTTGCTGGCTTTCGTTTCAAAAATAGCCTTTCGTTCTTCCATAGGCAGGGGTCCATATCTTGTTGGTATATCAGGAATACCTTTTGTTGAAAGCCAGCTTTTGAAYGCAACTTCTCCTTCATTTCTTCCTTCTATTCTCTTTAGTATACTCAACCTTTCCATCTCTTCAGCAATTTCTTTCGCTTTTTTCTCTTCTTCAAGCTTACGGTATAATTCTTTCTCCTTGTCTAGAAACCACTGATGGTTTGATAGCAGCCTAGCACATTTTCTGTGTGCCCAGACACGTGCTAAGTCCATTGGTGTGTTGTCATCACTGTCCTGACTGTCAATAATTGCTCCGGCTTTAATAAGCTCCATTAGGCACTTGACGTGGCCTTCACTAGATGCTTTATGCACTGGAGTAGTGCCATTATGATTAGCTCTAGATAAATATATGCATTTTTAATTTTWTTGAAATATTGAAAACTTTATCCCCACCGGCCCCTCCCCTGAGAAATTTTATCGCAGAGAGGATTACCGATTTGCAGGATATTGGGTCACCCATGAAATTAAAAAAAGAGGATTCTAGTCGTTATTATAGAAAAATCTTCATATTGTACCTTGAGGGATCAGCGCCCTTTTGTAGCAAGTACTTCACGCACTTGAGAGATCTTTTCTTGTCTTTGTTGTTGATAGCTAGGTGAAGAGGAGTCCATCCCGTCTCACTGGGGAGATTCACATCAACTTTATATCGTTCAATCAGTACCTTGATACTGTCTAGATGACCGTGTAATGCTGCYAAATGCAACGGCGAAAGACCCTATAATACGATAACAAAAACTAACTAAGATAAGCTTCAACTTCCATGTTATGACTAATACTTCATATGTTGAAACTCTTCCAAAAATCATTTTTTCAAGAAAATGTTAGCCAAAAGTACAATATAATGGTCAAGAAACGACGTGATAATGTTCAYAGTTTMYCATTTACATCTTAAAGGAAGYAAAGAACCATTTCAATAACTWRAATAAGTGTTATCGAGGTGTTAAAMGTCAACTCACATGTTCGCGAGATTGTTTATAGACATGTTTCGGATTCCACAGACTTTGCTGAAGCCATTTCACATCCCCRATAGCTGAAGCCATCAATAYATCGTCTTCTATGTTGGGATTATCCTTAACTAGTGAATGTCTTCGTCTTCTTCTTTGGCCATTTGTTCGCGATACTTCGACACGACCAGCCGCCATTTTGTTTCTTGCTTTCRCCTTCTTGGCTCCTGTTGCTAAGCAACAGAAAGTCCTAACGGGAATCGTTGGACGGCGGAATTTACGGATCGACGATTAGAGTACTACTTTAGCAATACAACAAAACAGAACGAAAAGAAAACAAAAACAAAAACAAAAACAAAACAAAACAAAACAAAACAAAACAAAACAAAACAAAACAAAAAACATACAATTATACACTTAAACTTTCTTTCCAGATGCTTGCATGTGATGTAGACATTCAAAAATCATTAAGGGTGGTCTGTGTTGCTAATGTATCAACCTCTCACTAATGCTTGGTTTGTTGCAGGAGGCCGAGGAGGCCCAAATTTGAGTCAGCACACCCAAACTAATATGCAAGTTGAGTTTGTTTGATGTATTGCTCTCCTGTGCTACAAGTGCTTTTCTATGGGTTATTTGCTTTGCCTCTCTAACAATCGACATGTGAGTAGAGTGTCGTGCTGTGAGTGAACAAGTTAAAAGATTTAATTTGAATTTTTACAGATTCCACATGGGACTTTTGATACATTAATGAACCAGCTGTACAAGCAGCATCCAGTATAGCATAATATTATTGAAACATCAATGAGGATGAGTTATTGATATCCATTAGATCACATTTCATGAAAGAATGGAATGAAGCTGAACATACAGAAGAAGTCTCAAGTTTTCTTTCAAAATCACTATAATAATTATTTACTTATTWTATTTAGTTGATCTGGAAGTTGCATCTCTCTTACTCTCTTAATAGTCCAAAGTCCAATAAAAATAAAGTAGAACTGTTTTTCTTAGTTTTCCTGGTGTTGGTATATTAACTGTCTTCAAGAAAAACCCTTCGGTCTTATTGTCTCAGTTAGAATTTTTAACAGCAGCACTATTATTACTCTTTTGCCAGTAAATACCACCAGTATATTGTGACTTTGTAKGTATATTCCAGCACTCATTTCCTGGTCACTTTTTCCCAGGGGTCCATGATTGTGGTTCAAAGATGTCAGCCTCTTCCTCACCTCCCTTTCCTGGCTGGCCAGTGTTGCTACCTGGAGTCCAAGAACCAGGCTGAAAGGTATCTCCAGTTCTAGTTGGTTCAGTTTTTAGTCCTRTCTTTTCGTAAACAGGAGCAGAAGCGTGTCCTATTGGTCTTGTAGCCATGTCTTGTTCTTCACCTTTCCTCTCTTCTTCTGCTTCTATTTTTTTCACCCTCTGGTTTAAAACCTCACGCTTTTGTAGCATACTGATCAATTCATCGTGTGTGGGAGGATTGKCTCTCTTTCCTCTCATCCAAGATTCCCATTCCAAAGGTATTGTACCATCTTTATATTGTTCATGCTTGAGATTCGTTATCACTTCTCTTCTTGGTCGACGATTTTTTCCTGCAAGAATTTCATAATACTGATTTCCATCTRGATCTGTTCCTACCAGTCTACGACCAGAACGAAATACTCCCAGCAGATTTCTTATCCACTGCATTCTTTACTACAAACGATAAGCCTCCCCTTTAATCATTTGTACACTTCGTCGGCCATTTTGGTTATAGGTAACACCACAGGAACCCCAACAGTAATAATACAGAAACCTAAATATAAATAATATTTGAAGGAAATGTTTAGAAGGAAAATTAGAAGAAAATAATATTGAGGAMAAAATGAAGTAGAAATATTTCCATTAATTTATCTTAAAAAAGAAAAACGGGAATATTCACCTACGTTACAGAATAAAACTAAGTTGGGCTTCCTGTGTTATTCCATCGATTTTTTTTAATCGACCGACGCTTCTGGTTTGTTCTCTTAATTCCAATGAAGAACTGAGCCGATCTTTGATCATCTATAAATGAAAATGCCAACTCTACTAAAGGATAAAAGTCAAAAGATTTCCTGATATGAAGAAACAATCATCGCTGAAGATTTGTTCGGTTTTTATCGTCTATTTTACAAGTGAGTAAGCTGTATACAGTTTGTTCTAACACAACCTGTTACGTCACAGTTAGCAAAATTTGAAAACACTCGAGCAGGTTGTCTCMTTTCAAAGCTTGTAGTTTGATCATTCTTTGGTATGTATTTGCTTTTTATTTTATTGTGGTAGTCATGGTGTTGCATTTGGCAAAGAATTGAGTTAAGAACGACAAGAAAGCGAAAGTAGTCAGGCGACACAAGTATTTGTTTTGCTTCAAATTTATCTATCAATATTGCCGATCAACAACAAAATATATCAGAATTGAAGGTTTGAAAGATTAATTGGTTTTATTCTGTTAATTTAACATACAAATATACACAAGAATTTCAATTTGTTTCCAAAATTTCCTCGGTATAAAATATCATAGCTTTCTTGGTTGTCACATGATGTGATGATATAACAAGTGTGACGTCTCGTGACATCACATCCTGTTAAAGGTCAATAACACTGCTGACTTCTTTATAAATATACATATATGTATTTTTGTACTGTAATTCTTGGAATGCAATCTCATGACAAAAAAATTTCTTGAGTTTTAAATAACAATGAAACAGCCAGCGTCTTTGACCTAATACGAGAAGCTTATGACGTAACATGTATACCAAAAAAGATTAAATGATCAGTCTATGTTTGATAAAATGGCCTTACTACTTCAYGTAAGACTACATGAAATGGCACTATTCTGTAATAAACTTTAAGTTTAGTTTGGATTTGGGATAGGGTTAGGGTTTGGATCCAATAGTGCCATTTCATGTAGTCTTACGTGAAGTACTAAGTTACTGATAAAGAGTCTTTATTTTCCTTTGGTTCATTTAGTTCTTTTTTCCCTTTAGTTTTTGTGTGTTTGGAGTATTAGCCAAAGTATTGAATTAAGTATTTTGTGTGTATGTAATAACTTTAACAATGATTAATAAGTATATAATGATCTATTGTGTTACAGTTGGTATCCTGTTTTGTCTGCCTCTTGGGTATGAAGTACAATGTACGAGGATATCAGAACAAAATATARCATGTCATCCCTGTCCTCCAGGAACATACGCTAATAACAGTAAGTTAAACCAATTTGTACATGTAGGGGRATTTTTAAATTGTTAAAAATATGGCGACCAATTTGAATAAATATTGTTCTGCACTGACTATCAATATCTATTGACTAGCCTTTAATACATGTGAAAATGCTTTAACATAATGCTGGTCAGTAACTAGCCTCGTGCAGAACAATACAGTAGTTATTCAAATTGKTGGCCACATTTCAATTTGGTGCGTGGAGAAAAAGACGTGTAAGGAAGCTTTGTGTAGTTATATAATGGTGTGCAGAGCACTGCTATGACATGCATTGTGCTTCTAACACTTAACAATAGTTATTCAAATTGTTGGCCACATTTCAATTTGGTGTGTGGAGAAAAAAACGTGTAAGAAGCTTTGTGTAGTTATACAATGGTGTGCAGAGCACTGCTATGACATGCATTGTGCTTCTAACACTTCTCACACATTCTCCCAATCTCTAAATGCTTATTATAACACTGTTCATACATATACACAGGACATAAGCCATATATTTGTTCATATATATATACTGTATTTAATAGGACTGATAGTTTTGGTTCGATAGGTTCTCCTGAATGTAAACTTTGTAATCCTGGCTTCTGTGAGAAAGTATCATCATGCTTTAAATGTCTTCCTGGCCATTTTCAAAAGTCTGCAGGCCAAGTATCCTGTCTTAAATGCTTACCTGGGAGTTATCAACTAAATTCTGGTCAAGCAAACTGTTCTCTGTGCAATACTGGTAGCTATCAGCCATATTCTGGCCAGAAAGAGTGTTTGGAGTGCAATACTGGAGAATATCAAGATAAAACTGGACAAAAAGGTTGCAATAAGTGTCTAGAGGGGCATTTCCAGAATAAGAAGGGACAGCAAAACTGTACAGCTTGTCAAAAGGGTACTTCTCAGAAAGATAAAGGACAAATATCTTGTAAAGAATGTGCACCTGGACAGTACCAGGATAAATTGGGACAGTCATCATGTTTACCTTGCAAGAAAGGAACCAGTCAAAGCAAAGCAGGGCAAGCTGAGTGTGTAACTTGTGAAAAAGGAACGTATCAGAACTTAACTGGCCAAGAAGATTGCAAATTATGCCCTGAAGGTCATTATCAGAATGAAACAGRGAAAACAACTTGTAAGCTTTGTTCTCCAGGAAGATATCAAAGTGGTATAGATCCAACAAGGTATGAAGTAGTTCCTCTCACTGAACGAGGAGCTGTTGAATTTAGCTTACTTGTCTGAATGAACTATGCTTGTTTCCCATACGCATCGTTTCCCCTACTGAAGTCCACCTACGCATCTTTTCATCTACTGAAGTTTGTATAAGAAAAGTCATGAAACTTATCTTAAACGAGTGTGACACAGTAAATGTATCAAAAAGGTAAAACCAAGTGACTGTTGTTGAGAGAAACATTGTGAATGAATCAAAAACTTTAGACACGAATGAGTTGACGTGTGACAACAAAAKCATCTGTGTCTGYCTTTTTGATCATTAAAGTTTTCCTCTTTTCTTCATCTAATGCTTCTACTTATAAATCAGTGCCAGTGTATTACTGCATTGGTAAACTTCAGTAGACGAAACGAAGCATAGGCGAAACGATCAGATACCGTCTGAACGGTAGAGTGGTTTTTGTATGAGTGTGAAAAGTATGGTACTGACTTATACAGCATATGAACAGTATATTATGCATACAGCTTGCTGTCAATAAAATGACATCCCATAAGAATGGTCATTGTATGAGTGTGAAAAGTATGGTACTGACTTATACAGCATATGAACAGTATATTATGCATACAGCTTGCTGTCAATAAAATTGCATGCCATAAGAATGGTCATTGTATGAGTGTGAAAAGTATGGAACTGACTTACATTACTTACATATAACCATAAAACAATAAAAGATGTCATAACACTGAAATGACCAACTTTCTTTAATTAATTCATCAACAATATAATGAGTCATTGTAGTTACTGTCATTAGATCTATGGTATGGCTTCATATTTGCCATATTGTTTCCCAATCATATGAAATCTGCTTTATTCTTACAGCACTTAGATTTGCAGTATTAACCTTATCCAAATTTATGAAGAGGGAAATGTGAGACCAGAAGAAAATTGATGGAGTAGCTAGCCACTATATTATACTTCAACATATCTATATATCTTAACATACATATCATATAATCTTAGCTTTTCATTTGTTGTAATTGCTTGATAGGAGCAGCAGAAGTCACTGCGTTCCTTGTCSCACGGGGAGCCACTGCCAGTGAGTATTAGTACAGTAATGTGTAGTTCCAGAAATTATCCATACCTTCTTTCCCCATGGAGGAATTTGAAATTTTTTCACTGCAATCGACAGTCAAAGATGTAAAACTTACCAACTGATTATAATGATTTATTACAGTGAAAACAAGAACATATTCTAGCTAGTAGCCACTTAGTTCACATAATAGTTATKGGAAACTGTGCTATAATAATATGTTATTTTTGTACCTAATTCTTTCTTGGAGTCCCCTAGGCAGGCTTGTCCCTAGTAACATGGTTTTTTGGAAAGTTTAGAACCAGGTGTGTGAGACAGATACATCGTTATTATTAGCAATATTAATGCTGTGTTACATTACAATCCAGTCAAACAGGATGTATTGGTTGTGCTCCATGTCCAGCTGGTCAAGACTCTGAATATGGTGCTGTAAACTGCTCTCTGTGTGAGCCTGGTAGGTAACAGAGTGGCTGAGAATCCTTTACATTCATGTCACATTGATTGATTTTGATTAGGAAGGTTATATCTTCATTTAATATGTACATATTAACAACTTTATCAGGTCTGTAGGTTACAGTGTGACTGAGAATGCTTTACACTCATGTGATTACGAATGTCATATCTGCATATCATATTCACGTATGCTAAGCTCATCAGGTTTGCATGCAGACTGGTTTATTAACTTTGTCATTGAAACTATCAGAAGTCAAACAAAAATATAATTAGGACAACCAACCAAGAAGCAATTCTACTCACATACTGTATGATAGCGAGTGTAGAGATCATTCTCACAACCACAGTGTTTAGAGGCAACACATTACTGGCACACACACTACACTATCTGCATTTCTTCCTGATTCATAGTTGAATCCATTCATTAGTAATAACATAGTACCCAAGGGCTAGAAATAATAGCTGGTCAGTCGGCAGTCAGAATAACCATTAGTTTTGTCATTAGTTTTACATTGTTTCTGACTTAAAATGACAGGCAAAGGCAAAGATTCAATTCTGACCAGAAATGGTCCAATGAGTAGCCATTAGTTTTGGTCTGTACACTCATTAGAATTTGCTTTTATTCTGTTATTATTCAGGAAAATACAAACCCAACGAGGGYATGATGCTGTGTAAGTACTGTCAAGATGGATGGTATCAAGATGGGTTTGGTGGCAAGACATGCACGAAGTGTCCGGCAGGGTATTATTGTCCAGTAAGTGTTCAGCAGGGTATTATTGTCCAGTAAGTGTTCAGCAGGGTATTATTTTCTAGTAAGTGTCCAGCAGGGTATAAATGTCCAGTAAGTGTCCAGCAGGGTATAAATGTCCAGTAAGTGTCCAGCAGGGTATTATTGTCCAGTAAGTGTCCAGCAGGGTATTATTGTCTAGTAAGTGTCCAGCAGGGTATTATTGTCCAGTAAGTGCCAATGCAAACTGGGTCTAGTAGAGTTGTTTGTTGGTTCTCTCATGTGCTTCGAGGGTCTTTCTCCAAGTTCCTCAGTTTTTTCTCCCTCTGAAATCATGACAACTTCTAAATCGAATCAAGGGAGATACCTAAGCAGACTTTACTCGCATGATAGTAAATCCAGAAATTGAACCTGAGATGCCAGTAATGAGAGGCACTGATGCACTACCACTAATAATGCCACCCTTGATTCCTTTAACCATCCCCACAGCTGGACAATGTGATCGGGCCACTCCTTCAATTTCTTATTGCATTCTTGCTATCTCTTCTTTCAGTGGCCTGATTCAACACCTCATCTKTGTCCAAAATCAGAGTTATGTCCTGCTGGAAGCAAAAGCCCACTGAAAAAGTGTCTTCTTCTTATGCAACGAGACCAGGATTCTTTGGTATGTGAAACAAAGAAAGAAGGATTTTAGTTTGAGAAGGAGATGCATTTGTATGAGGAAGCTTTAGGGGAAATGAATGAGTAGGAGGGGTGGGGAATTATTGAGAAATGAGAAAAAAAGAAAGAAAAAACTGAACAAAATAAAAAGAATTTCTGGTACATGTAGGAGTAACACGATGGGAGTCTAGTGTACACTGAGCTGATGGGACGATAGAGAGAGAAAGAACTGAGGAGAAGCTGCATGGAGAGTGTGGTTGATTGTGTTGGAAAAGGAAACTAGGAAAAATGAGTTAGATAAACAGGATGCATTGTGGTCTTTTTTCGGTACAAACAACACTATATAAGGCATGATGGACAAAAGATGTTTGTACCGAAGCTAGACCACAATGCATCATAATCACTATCTCAGAAAAAAAATCTATGGTATGAATAATTTATCTTATTTTAAGGAATGCGAGCCATCGACAACACTTCTAGTGATTATTGCATTGATTGTGACAGGTAAACTGAACTTTTTTTTGTTTATTGCACTATTTTGGTTTTTAAACCTTGAAATGACCACGAAACAATAGTTTTTTAGGAGGCTGGATCTGATGTATTCATACTTTTACTGTATTTTATCAATTCCAACCTCGACTTRAAAGCATTTCGTGGTCACTCRTGGCAATTGAGTGAAACACGTAATCAGTATTGATTTTTTTGTTTCTTTTTTACTTGCAGCGATAGTTCTGTCCCTTCTGTATGTTATATACAGAATAAGACGAAGGTAAATATTTTATAAATTTATCTTTGTATGATAGACTTGAACCTGATGTGTTASACATAGTGACAAGTCTGTTAAATRTTTGATGAAAGCAACAGAAAATGAYGAAAGTAAAGTAAATCGATAGTTAGAGGCAAACGACCGATTCTTGAAGTTTTAACATGAAGCAAAATTCTCCAAATATAACAAGTTACAGCCTAATTCAAATCATCAGTTAAAAATGTGAAATTTTCATGGACATTTTAATGTTTTATTTCAGGCGTGTGAATGAAGAAGAAAGATTGCTCGTAAGAAATCATCCTGTTTATACGGGATGGTGATTGGCTGAATCAGAATGCAKTTAACCAATCAGATAGCTCSTTATCACACTTATCCAATCAAATTGGTGGATCTTGATGACGCCATCAATATGCACTTCACCTTCATACTATGATCCATTTGATTCAATGCAATYATTCGATCTGGAATGAATAAGAAAATTTAACTTGAAATGCTTGTTCAGCTAGGATTTTATACCATAGTTATTTCGATTTTTTTAATCAGAGGTTTGAAGTTATCGTATATACATTTTTATATCCACCTTGCAAAAGGTCTCTTGGATGGAGATAAGGAGAAACTTCAATATGGCAGGCAATGTTGCCTATACCTAGAAACAAATTCGAAAGATTACCTCAAGACCCATGAAAAGTTGTTTCAATTAGTTTAACTGGTTTTGCTGGAAAATATTTAGTTGAAAACAAATTCATTGATTTTCCTTTCTTGTTTTGTACAAAAATAACTTGTATAAAATATCCCTAGTTGGGTTTGATTAGGCTTCTATTATCATAAAAAATAAATTATTACACGACAGTTGAAGGGTGCTAGTTTACCAAGGCCGAAGAATATTTCTCAGTTGAAGGACCTACCCTTTGTTGCATCAAACACAGGTATGCACACACTGTCGACTGGAAGTCTTGTTTTTCTTACATGCAGCAGCTGGGGTTGTTCTATCCTTGAAAAACATTTGCGCGTGAATAATAATAACCTCCACATTTATTTACATCGAATTGATTGTAGAGAATTTTAATTCTTTGGAATAAAAACCTTTCGAAACTGAAGAGTCGAAAGAGTTACATATTTTTTATCAACCAATCGAAAAAAGCTTTATATTACGTGCAACTCAATTCTCCGAAAATATTGTCGTCAGTGCGCGTGCGCGGTGTGGTGTTTCGTTTTGATATGATAAAACAAGACAGCAGGGGTCGAGTGTCTGATCTTCACTATGCTAATAACCCCACGAGGTTCTGATAGTTTTTAATTCTTGGAAAATGACGTTGCAAATGTCATGAATTGGCCTCAGTCACTGCGCATGAGCATTGCAGAATTAGCCGTGTTCTGATGGACATGTGACACTCACAGATCTTAAGAATAAGGCGGACCCGCGTATCTGCCAATCCTCATGAGTGAATGCAGTCAATCTTGCTTTCATTTCCTTGGAGCTGCTCAGTTTTGAAACTGCACATTTGCCATCGTTGAGACATGATAATCAATGCTCATCCACCGATATACAGGATGTCGTTGTAGAGTTTAAAAAGTGGTTCTTTGACGACTGTCCCCAAACCTTAAACCTGCTGATCACTGGTAAAACTGGGGTAGGGAAATCTCGTCTTGTTAATGCTCTCGTTGGTAAAAAGGTCGCTAAAGAAGGCCGAGCACTAGATCCCTGTACGTCTGAGGTAACGTCTTACAAAGTAGTTATCAAAGGGGTTGCAGTCACTGTGTGGGATTCTCCTGGATTACAAGACGGAACGAGTAATGAAGACCAGTACATAGAAGACATGAAGAAAAAGATAAAAGATGTGGCTTTGATAATCTACTGTGTCAGGATGGACGACACTCGATTCTATGATGAAGACAAGAAAGCCATTCGAATACTGACAGAGGAGTTTGGGAAGGACCTGTGGGTTAATGCTGTAGTGGCTCTGACGTTTGCGAACAAGGTTGAAGACCCTGATGAGGAGAACGATTTGGAAAATTTTCGGTTTCAATTTCGGGAGTGGAAAAAGCAGTTGAAAGATTATTTTGCAGCTGTTGGGCTCAACCCTGAAACAAGCAGATTGATTCCAATAATTCCTGTGGGAAACAAGGTAAAGTCTATGCGTCTACCTGATCGAGAAAACTGGCTTTCTGCTCTGTGGATCGAATGTTGCCTAATCCTGAAGCTTTGTCCAGTAAGTTTGATAGGTTTTTGTTACACCTGTGATCGCGGTTTTTATTGCCCTAAATGGAGACAGTGATTTTTCTAACGGCTAATTACAATTTATTTATTTTAATCTTAATTTAAATCTTTATTATACGCCTCGAAAACGAAAAGTAAAAATTTTTTTTAAAAAAATGTAAAAAACTATGTTACAATAAACAAACAAAAATTATACTAGGCAGAAAATTTACATGAGAGAAATCGGTAAAATGACAATTATCTAGTGACACATTTTTTGATGAGTTGTAGGTCAGTGTAGATCAGTTGATGTGAAGTACTGAGTTGTGCTGAGAAGTTCAACTTAGAACTTGTTTGGATCGGAGTGACATGGAGTGACATTTCTCCTTGAAACCAGAAGTTAAATTTTAATAGTCAAGTCAAGTCAAAGTTTATTTCCCCCATATTTGAATATCTTATTCACAGAAGGAGAATATGAAAAAAACAAGATATGATAATAGTATTAAGGGGCACTGACAACCTGAAATAACCATGAGGGCTAAACAAAACTCAGGTTGCAGTCATATTGCATTTATAAACTTAATAATATCTGGTTGGGGAAAAAGAACACACACACATATACTTAAATAGGAAGAGCAAAAAAAAATTAGACTACGAAAAAGCATATTCAAACTAATAAGTACTAATAAGTACTAATAAATAGCAGAGTAGTAATATTTATTGATCACATGATGTTAGAGTGGTTTCCATAAACCAGAGAAACAAAGTGTACTAATTAGAGTGTAATAGTCAGATAAATGCAATAGAAAACAACAGAATTACAGTGTAATATAGTACTAAATAAGCTAAAGTGTAAGTATAAGAACTGTAATTTATGTAGTAACTTGCTTATTTATTTATTTGTTCATTTATTTATTTTTCCTTTTTGAGTTTAGTGGGGAAGGTTAAGTGGGAACGTTTTATATATTGGGTTAAGTGGGAAGGTCCAGACACATATACTGTCTGGGTAATTAGGGATAGTCTCAGGGAAATATAGATTTTAGTAAATAAGAAKAATGGGAACATTTGGTTGTGAGRGACGGGATATTACTGTAWAGTAGACTAGTGTAAATATATAGGGGTTGTTTTAATTTAAGGGCTTGGAATACAGGAATTGTTTTATTGGTTTTATAGGGTCTTAGATAGGTGTCCCCATTAGTTTATTTTGTAATAAACTAGAACGATGTGACACATTAATAAATTTATTATTATTATTATTAAAGTGTATTTCACGGGTTTATGAAAACCACTCTATCTAAAAGAAAGATAATAGCATAATGTGATAATAAGTGCTGATAACCATCAATGATATCTATTTTTAATTGATCTTTAAATGCAGAAAGTGAAAGAGATTTTAACTTATCATTAATAGAATTCCAAACAGAAGGGCCCTGGAATTTAATATTAAAAATATCATAGTTCTAGCTTTGGGAAAGTAATAGGATTGTTTTGAAGGTATAGACTTGTATTATAGGAATGAACATCTTTAACTTTAGTAAAGAAATTGATGAAGGTAAATAGATAATTGTGGTATTTATGCATAAAATCAGCTACATGAAAAGATTTATGAGGTCATAGATCGAGTTGTACAATTCTTAAGGACTTAAATAATGGACTAGAGTGATCATCAAACTTAGAAAAGGTAATAACACAAACAGCCTTTTTTTTGCAAAATAAAGAGGCTTTAATAAAGAGTAGTTTGATAAGTATTAACCCAGGTGGCTATGCCAACTAAGATTTGAATCAATTGATACACCAAGTTACCTTATACAGGATTCTTGTTTTATAGTCTTATTATTGTAACCAGGTGAAATTTAATAGTTTTATGTAACATTTGTTTCATTTTGCTCACATAGCAAAGCAAGGTATTTTCGGAGAATGGATTGTGTTCCAGCTGGTTAAGAGGGCCTGATTTTATAGAAAGACAGCAAGGGTTTGTCTTTAATCTATTCTTGGTTTTCACCTACGTCATCATGAATTTCAAAAGCGTAAATTCGCCTTATAATGAAATAAAAGTTTCATAATCTTGTAAAGCGGTCAAAACTACACATTCTGGCCAAATTTCGAGGCTGTAAAGCATTTCGTTGCGGAACTAGAGGCGAGTAAACATGACGCAATTTTTGGTTAAAATGTATGGAGCGGCCATCTTGGTGTTCCAAGTTGGTGCACCATCATGGCGGACGAAATTTCAAAGGCTTAAGATGATGGAATTTTYAATATTTTTGACTATGTTTCAMTTAAATAYACCTTARATAGAYCTTTAAAACGYGTCTAAGGGAAAATCTTTTAACTAGAGTAAATTATTTTACTATTTTGATCGCTATTTAGATAGACGTGACGGCATTGCGTGACACAAACTCAACCTTCATAACTCGGGAACCAAACATCGAAATGACTCGAGATTTTTTCTTGTGACTTATGACACTGAGTTCTGAAACATATTTGAGAAATGTCTTTATACGATCTATAGTTTAGATTTTGATGTTTTSATGACGTCATGTGAAAACTGGCAATTAGTTAATCCTTGTGTAAACATGTTATAGGATACTTTAGTTGTCACAGGAAATTAGAACAAACACACCCTATTTATAAACCTGTTTTAAACTTGTTTTCAATTAACTGTCAATCATTTTGTAACCATGCTTATATTACTTGTGATTTTGCCAACAATTAAACCAGTTCTGCCTGACCTTTGTATGGTGCACACGTGAAAGTTGTGTGTTACTGTTTTCTATAGTTGTAGTGAGTTGAGTCACATACTCTCCACGCAATCTTCTGATGTAAATACCACAATCCATCAAAATGGACCTGTAAAGTAAACCCAGTCACATTATCAATATATAAATTGAAACTTGAATTAGTGATCTTTTTCAGTCTAGTATGAAATATTACGAAATTTTGTTTTCAATATTTAATGAGAGTTTATTAGCACACAACCAGTTGTTGATTGTGTGCAATTCGATATTAATACTTGCCTCAAGGATAGATAATTCATTTGACTATAGTTAATAAATCTATTAACTATGATTTGACAAAATAAATTAGCATTCTGCAAACAGATGAAATTCAACAAATTCAAATTCAACGCCAGATATTATACTACATTGATCAGAAATAACATTAATACTATAACAGTTGCTTTCTTTTATTTGAATAAGAGATTAAGCCAGTCTTTTACAGGACCACAGATACCATGATTCCAATTTTTTAAAATCAAAATTTGATGGTCAACAGTATCATTATGCCAGTTTCTCAAATCTAAGAAAATTCCACAAGAGAACTTGTGTGTTCTTCAACACGCCACTGTACAAGTGTCTATGTGTATATATACAAAAGTGTCTATGTGTATATGGTGTATATGGTGTGTATATACATATATACGTACATATTAATGACAGGTATATATTTTTAAAGAGGGATGAATGTCATGTTTGTTTGTTTTTTTCTAAGATACATATTCAAAAATAAATATATCTCAGTTCAGTCAACAATACTGCTATAGTAGCTGTAAATGCCTATGTAAACTTGAAATTTACTTTGTACAATCAACAACATCATTAAAGAAAAACAATCAATAGTTATGCTAATTCAACAATAATTTAGTCAAACAAACGGTCGTAGAAAGGAGTACCGGGAATTCTCCCAGCAGTCACTGGAGTCATCTGAATCATCGTCACCAACTTCGACATTATGATCAACATCAAAAACAACTTCACCACTGACAACATCATCATCATTATTATCATCAAGGACATCATCATTGTAATCACCATCATCATCATCAACAACCTCATCATTGTGATCATCATCATCATAGTGTCGTTCGGTTTTTAATACCTGATGCATGAATCTATGGTTCTCAAACATGGGAAGGAAAATCCCTTTATTATAAATGTATTTTAAACTCGATTTTGTTGTCTCAGGCATAAATGTGTATATAAAATATATTTATCTTTAATAAAGATTGATATTGATGCCTTCATTATCATTTCATATCCACTGAAGGGGAGTATTACTTGTTTTTCAAGGGGGAGGGTATTGATTTTTTGAGCATCAAAATGGGGAGGGCTACAAATTTTTAAACCATATAACTACAGTAGCGTCACATTTTTTTGAACACTTTTACTGACCAAAATAGTGACCCCCCCTCCCCTTCCTCGTTAAATAATGACCGGTCTCTAAAGAAACTTATCAAAAACAGCATAAATTTTTCAACACACTATGTTTATAAAGTGTCACTGTTTTTTCAGCAATAAAATAGTGAAGTTTGAAAATGAACTATCAAGTAATGAATAAAAATATCTTGGATCATGTATCTCTTGATGTAAAGCAAGTGCCTCGGTTATACTTTTGGACTATTTCCTTTTTTCAATGTTAAAATGTTTGAAATATGTATTTCACCCCTAATAAGGTTGTATCACCTGTACATAGCCGTGTGTCATGCCATGTGCCAGAGTGTTCAGCGTACAGGCCTAGGGAACCCAAGCAATAATAACCTGAATGGGTTGCTATATATAACTAATGGAGAGGTGATTTTTAAAACCCATTGTAAATAACTAAAAACATGAAATGAATAAAACTAGACCATTTTGAGAGGTTGAACTTTGATATTTCTAATAATTTTTGTACATTATGGTTATTTGCTTGGGTTTCCTGTGGTCGGTTGCCAGAAATTCAAATCCCATCCCTTCATGAACAAGAACGATGACTATCAAATAAAGCGATTACTAGTAGTATCCACATGCGCTTAAAATGCACCTTTTATTGACTGTGTTAAAACTCAATTATGGCTTAATTAATGGCTGACTCAATTATCTGATGAATGCTCCCTTATACTGATCTATTTTGCTTTGTTTAGTAAATAAACTATTTTTTACACCGAAGTGTATGTAATGAAATATAGTAAAATATATCCTTTACTGTTTTGTGACCTGTTGTAATTAGATCACTTATTATTGTTTACAGCCATAGCACAAACTGCATAGTACAAGCATGCAGCTTGTATGTTGTCCTTGTTGAAATATCATGGACAGTACTCACACGTGAGATCCCTATATATAAAACAATACTGCATTCTGGAACATAGCTGGGCGACCATTCACTAAGCCAGAGAACAACTGGCAAACTCATGTACTCCACCCAGTAGATGTGTTATTCTTCAATATATAAAAATTGTGTTTATTAGTTAAAATATAAGTTATTAAGCTAGCTGCTGTACAAAACTAGCCATTCTTTGTGTAGCAGTGGTTGGTACAAGAAGATATTTATAATATGAAGAAGATTATATATTCTTGTGTTTTATTTATATGTGCGTCATAGATATGATGTACTATCTAAAACTAGCAATTTCCAGTTATACACAGTAGGGAAATCTAAGATGATAATATGGTGTACATGCCCCTTATGCACGTCTGGTAAAATCTATCAACTGTATATCTTCATGGCATCGATCTCCCTCGTTTCATAATTTTCCCCAATAATTCCAGCAAATTGAGTCTAGACTCCGGAGTGTAGTGTTTAGAGATCTTGGTATAATTTACACTGTAATTGCTTGCTTGGTACCAGTACAATATATGCCATCTGTCATTTCGAAATCGTTTCTCTGTTTTTTAGTCTGTCTTGATCAGATCAAAATATGTGGATACCCAGCTGCATAATTTGTAAAATCAAAAGTGTTGCAATAAAAAGCTGTTTTAATTAGAAAAAATGATCAGTTGCATTATTTATTTATTTCGATTCGATAATGTTGAAATGATTTTTGTTTGTCCAACAATACTATTAGTCCCTTGTAGCTGTTGAGCAGACTTGAGTGTGTGGGGGTAAAATATATGGATTTGACAGCATGAATTTAGTTTTGAGAGCCTGCACTTTAGCTTAAGATTTACAATTATTGTGTAATGTAAGCCGAATTAAAATAAAGTTAGCTTACCTTTGCATAAAAAGCGGTACGAATACTTGCAAGGCAATTAGCCAGTTAGTAAGGCGAACCAGAAATGTGCATATTTATATAAAAGAACTTGGCTCGAGCGACGAATTAATACTAAGTGATCCGCCATGTTGTTTTTTAAAATGATTTTGCTTAGCTAGACCCCCTCCCCTACGGGAGATTTTGTCAATTTTTGATCATAATTTGTTTAAAAATCCTAGAAAAACGAACGTTCAAAAATTGAGACTCATTCCGTAATAATTTTTTTGACGATAGAATATGAATAAAAGGAGTTGGAGAGTCCTTTTTGAAGCAAAGGAAAATTTAAAACTGTTCAATTTCTGATTTTAAAACTAAATGTTTCACTTTGAACAAAACGAAACTATAAACTCAGAATACCAATTTTTGTATTTTCAACATTGTCAAAAATCTAATGGACGGAAGGTACCCGCACCGAACATTTTGCGGGCGATATTTTGGTCAGTCTCATATTTAAAGCTTTCCAGTACCCATTTCCATATTCCATTTTGTTTCGTTTTGATATGATAAAACAGACAGCAGGGGTCGAGTGTCTGATCTTCACTATGCTAATAACCCCACGAGGTTCTGATAGTTTTTAATTCTTGGAAAATGACGTTGCAAATGTCATGAATTGGCTTCAGTCACTGCGCATGAGCATTGCAGAATTAGCCGTGTTCTGATGGACATGTGACACTCACAGATCTTAAGAATAAGGCGGACCCGCGTATCTGCCAATCCTCATGAGTGAATGCATTCAATCTTGCTTTCATTTCCTTGGAGCTGCTCAGTTTTGAAACTGCACATTTGCCATCGTGAAGACATGGATAATCAATGCTCATCCTACGATGAACAGGATTACATCAAAGAGTTTAAAAAGTGGTTCTTTGACGAATGTCCCAAAACCTTAAACCTGCTGATCATTGGTAAAACTGGGGTAGGGAAATCTCGTCTTGTTAATGCTCTCGTTGGTAAAAAGGTCGCTAAAGAAGGCCGAACACTAGATCCCTGTACGTCTGAGGTGACGTCTTACAAAGTAGATATCGAAAGGGTTACAGTCACTGTGTGGGATTCTCCTGGATTACAAGACGGAACCCGTAAAGAGGCCAAGTACATAGAAGACATGAAGAAAAAGATAAAAGATGTGGCTTTGATAATCTACTGTGTCAAGATGGACGACACTCGATTCCATGATGAAGACAAGAAAGCCATTCGAATACTGACAGAGGAGTTTGGGAAGGAAGTGTGGAAGCATGCCGTAGTGGCTCTGACGTTTGCGAACAGGGTTGAAGACCCTGATGGGGAAGAAGAGTTAGAATATTTCCAATCCCATCTTGAAGAATGGAAGAGGCAGTTTAGAGAATACTTCGCATCAGTTGGCGTCGACCCGGAAGTCTGTGTTCCAGTGATTCCTGTGGGGAACGTAAAGTCCATGTGTCTACCTGATGGACAAAACTGGCTTTCTGATCTGTGGCTCGAATGTTACCGTGCGATGAAGCCGTCTACCAGACGAGGCATGTATAAAATCAACGAAAATCGGTTGAAGAAAGCTTCATCCGTTACTTATTCGACGAGCACCAGCGGCGACGATGGCATTCCTCCCGAGATCCCTTTAAATGAGCAACAACAAAATAGCTTTTTGGAATCCAGTTGGGAAGCCTTCTTAAAATTTGTTGGCACTGCTTTTGTCACTGCTGTTGTTGGCAAGGTTCTTAGCGCATTGAAAGGTGCTTTCTCTTTTTTGCGGCGCTAACTTTCAAGTCTGACTTTAGGAAATCGAGAGAGTTTGATTTGAAAGTATAGACAGTCGCTTACCAATTCAACCAGAACTAAACAGTTTGTTGTAACCCCCCGAAAACTTCCGAGAGAAAATCAAAGAAATAGCCAGTTCATAATGTCATCACTGATCGTATGTTTAGTATAACGAGGTGAAAACAGTTATCAAGAGAGAACTACGTAATTCACAAGTAGATTTTTAGCTGGAGCTTGTATTCATTAACTCGATGTATTCGTATTGGAAATAAAGCGAAATGCTTGTAAAACATTATCCCGGTTACTATGTTATACAGCTAAATTAAACTCATCGTTAATGATGAGCTTGGCGTTAGGTGCATATTCGGTGGGATGGGCGGAGCCAGGCACAA